TATCCCCCCCCCCCCCGACCTCTCATCACATGATGCTCAATCTCCCACACCTCCGAGCGGTGTTATGGCCCGCATTGGTTCCGAAAGTTCTGTTATTGATTTTGTTTATTTACACCCCTTAATCTGGTCGCTCCATCCTCCGACACAAAGGTTCCCCTTTTCGTAGATCCTCAACTCCCCCCTCATTCGCATGAATATTTATCTTGGATTATCCTCACACATGGGTCGCGACGTTAGCGCATGCATGACTCACACATCCGAGCTATAAATGCACACGCGCAAACGCCACCCACGACACCAACTTGGTTGAGCTCTGAAGTAAACGGTTGTGTCCACGTCCTCTCCGGTCTTTTCCTTCATCGCGGATATCAGGGAAACGTAATAGGACCAGGGTTAATACCGTGGCCCCGGCGTGGTTCAAGACCACATGCCGGGGCCCACAACAGTTCTCACTTTCAAACATTTGGCCATCAATTAAATTCCAAGCACGAATTTCGTCTGGGGGCCGGAGAACCGCATGAATCGTTCATGTCATTTCGAAATGACCACTGAAATTCGGGATAAAAGATGATTACGAGTTTGTATTTGTATGGAGGAAAAAGCCGTTGCGCGATGTGTTACTAGGGCGAATTACAGATCTCGATGACAATTTGCCGCGTGCATAACCAAAATATCAAAACGAATATGTATATCTCAAAAAGGGTGCGGACTACACATCACAAACACAATCGGAGCCTGCATCGAACCAAGGATTTACAGAATTGGGCGAAATTGTGGCGAAATGGATGCAGGAGGAGGAGAAGGAGGCGGAATGGGGGGGCAAAATTGGAGTGCTACGTCGCTTTCCTGATGGCTTGTGAGGATGACTTGGAGGGCGTTTTGAGCAAATACGGCAATCTGTGGGAGAAAAATGCACACATCACTTGCAGATTAAGCGGTCAGAGAACCGAAGGCATCGCACTGTATATGTTGACGCGTAAAAATTGCATAGCTCACCCACTACTTGGCATACATCCGGTTGATTTCATTGAGGAATTTGGCCTTGATGTTGAATCTTTTAATCTTCAGAGCATCAGTAACCAAGCCAGACTCTGGCGTCCAGGGATCCGGGTCCAAAAACACTTTGCGTGGCACTTCAAAAGCAGCCAGGCGTTTAGCTTTGCCCACTTCCTGGATGTTCTCCGACACCCGTTTGATTATCTGCAATGCAATTTGCAAGAAATTAGAGTTTGTGAGAATACAACGTGTACTTATATTATCATAAGTAGCAATATTTTATGAGTGTTCCACGGTAAACACCACGTGGCACACCCTATCTTGTCAACCGTGCGTGGGATGTCACAATAGACGATTTTGAAAAATGGCCTTCAAGATCGACCTTCTTCCAGGCCTTCTCATCGCGAATTAGCAGTGCTAATCCGTTGTTTAGACGACTAAATCTTCCAATTGTTTTGGATACCAGAGTGAGTCACCTCTGAATTCAGCATCAAAAACAACTTGTGATTTGATGTTCTCTCTCGCACCCTCGAGTATTTGTTTGCTACCAGAGTGGGGGAGGAGAGGAAGCCACGCAAACGTGAAGGCGGCAGAATTAGTAACAAATCGGCTCGCAAACAGACGTGGGAGCAGCACACACACACACACACGCAAGTTTGGACCCACGAGGATTGCCACGCACCGAGCGCCTGCTGGGGACACGCAGCGTGGCTGTGGCCCCAAGCGTGGACACCGCCATCACCTGGAAAAACCCCGTTCAGAGGCTTGGCCGGAGTGGCTGCGGTTTAATTATTTACGCCAACACGGGCATCGACAACGCAGGGGGGCATAAATTCTGTCGGAGTTTACAACAAACACTGTCGGCGCGGCATGAACAAGTTGTTAGGGCGCGTGTAACAGGGCCATCAGCACGCCTGGCATTTGTGTGAAATTGAAAGAAAACTGTCGCTCTGCAACGGAGCTTGTTGCAAAGTGAAGGGGGGGGGCGCGATCAGGTCAAACTGCAAAGGCTTTTAATGAGGTGGTGAGAAAATGAGCCGTGACCTGGAGAGTCGCTTGTGTGTGCGTGTGTGTATGTATTTGTTTACATTGCATCGACGAGGAAAGAGATATTGAAATCAGAGTAATTGGCCATGCCTTGAACCTCGGGGTACGGATAAACACAAGGTGTTTGCGAACAAATTCCAGACAAGTCAGTAATTTGCGTATTGAGAAACTGCTACTTCAAAAACACTGATCTGTCAGCACCAACTGGATGCAAATCTAATCTAACACAGCACCAAGAGAGAGTTTGCGTGCCTCCGGATCTGTGTCGCTTATGTTGAAGGCCACGAGGATGTCTTGGTGAGACATGCTTGCGGACCTGCGCCAAAAAATCAACTCAACCTTCAACAATTCGTGGAGCGGATGGTTCACGGTGTTCGTGTTGTGAGTTTGACAAATGAAAATATCGACCAATTTGGATGAGTAGATTAAAGGCTGCGGAAGGTGTAGTGTGAAATTGGGGTCTGGTGTGGTCCCAAGACGTGATGAAAACAGCGCATCAGAACGACGAGTCTGTGCGGCTAATGCACGTCCACAGACTTGGAAAGATTGCGTCGGAAAGGCCGGCCGCCAGATCCTACGCAGCACAAAGTCAAGTGCACACTCGATATTTGAATGCACTACTACACAGCAACCACTAAAAAGCTCAACCACTAGGCCATGAAATGCAATCCTTAGCATTGATTACCAGGTACACTAGAGAAGACAGCATACTCACCGAACAATGCTATAGACAGCCCGATCGAAAACAGAGTCGCTCTCAACAGGTGATCAGGAACAAAACAGGCCAGGATGACACGTTAAGGAACCGTTTTAGGGACTCGTGGACTGATGATTTACACTTGGTTGCGCGACTTATAAGCAGAGTTTATCAACCAGTGTTCAATTAGGGCCAATTTATCACTTTTCTGCGAAATAACACACACACACACACACACAGAGAGAGAGAACCATGATTTCCGCTAATCAAAAACAAAGTAACGACAGGGTGCGCAGTCCGTCTGTAAGGCATGGAGCCTTTTAGGCAAGTTCAAGCTGTCCAGTGAATCGAGATCACCTGGCAGTGACCGGCTGGGTGGCGGCGGTGGTTGTGGCGGTAGTGTGGGTAAAAGAATAAACACGTCTCACGGATTCCGCCAATCAACAGTGACAACCGAGGAATCTCAGGGCAGCCCCGAAATGCGCACGCGGGTGGGTGACAGCAGTGAAGTGGCGGATACCAAAACACACAGATATTTCAGGTCGAAATGACACCTTTTTAATGTAAACAAAACGGGTCTGGTGCAGGGACTCCAAATGGCTAAATACGGTTACGGTAAATAACCTACGCGGAGTTCGAAAATTGCGGCAAATTAAAATGAAGTCAAAAAATAGCAGGAGGAGGAGACAAAGCGATATTCGGTGAAAAAATGACTAGAAATCAGCCGGAACCGACTAAACTTATGACCATGAGGAGATGAAGGCAGAACGAAGTGGAGTGCAAGTAGTAGAGATGGTAAGGTAGGTGAAGCCGATCAAAACGCTCAAGTACCTCGGGTCTGCGACAGAGAACAGCATGCTCAGCCAGCGACAAGGCGGTGGGATCGTTGAGTTTTCCAGGCGAGAGTTGATTCTTCGCTTCATTGATGGCGTCGTCCAAGAGGCCCAGCTCTGCGCCCAGCTTGCGTATCATGGTTAACTTGGGGCAGACAAAGCAGATGGTGTAGTTCTCATTGGGATCGGCATAAATGCAAATGTTCTCCACGTAGGGCGACTGGCTCAGAGCCAGCTCCACCTTAACTAAAGAGACGTATTCACCAGCCTGCAGTTTCACAAGGTCCTTTTTACGATCGATGATGGAGAAGCTGCCGTCCTGGTGGATCATTCCAATATCGCCTAAAAGCAGAAACAACTACAGCACTGCTTCAAGCTTGCAGCGAGTAAATGGGTTTACTGTTTTCTACAGGATTAAACCAACGAGAAACGAAGATGACCAGCATTTTATGCAAGGCTACGTTAATGCAAAAAGCAATATGGTCAAAGGCGCAGGAAGGAATAAAAAAATGCGAATTGGGGAACATTCCATGAGGAAAGATGACTACAGAGCGCGCGTAATACAACAAAGGCTGAAGCTTGACGACAAAGAAATTCGTTCGAAGCTATTAGTTAAGAAATGACGGTTTATTGACACAATCCTAAGCGTGATAACCTATGAGTTTGGTTTTGAGGTCAGATGTGATCAAGTATTATTATCATGGACGGGCTAGTGTTCCTCTTGACGTAGTGAGTAGCTATACCCGGTACAAGCGTGCAACGAAGGTGATTTTGAAAAAAAAATGTTTTAAAAATTAGAAATGAACAGGCTCCGTTCGCAGTTGAATAGGTTTTGGAGCTGAACCCACCTGTGCAGAACCAGCGCACACCATTGGAGTCGGTGATAAATGACTCGGCAGTGGCCTCGGGGTTCTTGTAGTAGCCACGAGTCACTGATCCGCCGGAAATGAGGATTTCGCCACGCGGGAAGGGCTTGTCGTAGGGCGAGTACCCGCCCACCTTCCAGGGACGCAGTTTGATCTCGATGCTGGGAAGCGGCGCCCCGACGTGATGGCCACGCAGATCGCCGCATTCCATGAGGGTTGCGGCTGCACACGTCTCCGTCAAACCGTACCTGCGAAGGTGCAATCAAATGACAGTCGCGTAAACAGTAAATAATAATCACAGCAAATGCGCCTAGGAAACATGTAAACTGATTTGCATGAGGCTTAATATGTAAACTGATGCTAACGGGTTTGTGCGCGGCGTTCCCAAACTACGACAGTCACTACATCAAATTACGGAAACCACGACTCCTGGCCAATAACCCGTATTTACGTGTGCTGGATCAGGCGCTCAAACACAGGCGACCTTACGAGCAGCCGTTTCCGCGGATGACTGGTGGTATTTCAGGTGTGTTTAAGCGCAAAGGTGGTGCAGCATAGGCCCTGGGTGGATACTCAGGAAATACCATTTTGTGTACTTTCAAGTGCTTAGAATGACACTTATCGGTGTAGCTGTGTGTAGGCTCAATGAGTATAATGCGATAAAGAGATAATTGAATTGAAATACTTGAAAGTGTCAATCGGCCCTAAAGACGTGGCACTTGATTTGCGTAAAATTCATGCACAAGTGGCAACCACAGCCCCAAAGCAAATCAAAATTGGAGTGTCAGTACAAAATCACACCACCAAACACACATTTCGCTTCGCCACTTCCAGAAACGCAATGAAGGCGCCTTTTACTTGAAAAAAAAGCGCTGTCTGACACTGGCAATCGTTGGAAAAGGTACAAGTCACGAAAGGGCAGTTCTACCAACAGGTTAATGACATGAACCTTATATAGCATCACAACCTGGAGACTACTACCGAGCCGGACCTGTGGAAACCCGAAGAGGGCATTAGGCATTCTTAAGTGTCAAGAGAAATGGGGGGGGGAGAGGCGCCAGACGTACCCCTGCATGACGGGTGCAAAGCAGACGTTGGTGAAGAGGTGGGACTCCTCGGAGAGGGGCGCGCCGCCGCTCACGATGTAGCGGATGCGGCCACCGATGAGGGCGCGCACCTTGCGGAAAATCAGCCGGTCCACGAGGAAGCTGGGGAAGCCTGTGTGCAGACGACGGCACTTGTAGTCGTACGCGAAGTGGAAGATCTACAATTCAACGCAAAGCGCTGCAGGCGACCAGAGTAGCCAAAAAAAACCCGGGGCAGCATGAAGAGAAATACCAAGGGGACAGGCTTGGTAGTCTGTTCAGGGAAACGAGGAATTCGGCTGTGATGCAAACTTGTCCATTTTTTCTACCCTGCCTTGCTTGCCAAGGAAGGTGATTAAATGTGGTTATGCACGAGCCCTCTTTTATCCGGCGGGCATGAACCAAATGAGTGGCAATAATCTCTCTAGACAGGGGTGTAAATAATTTTATTGCATTTCGCCTTAGAACGACGGCAAAAGGTGTGACCTCGAGAAGTGGTGTTTGAAGGTCGATAAAAACAATGAGACTAGGGACAATAGGGGGGAATTCGCATTAACTCCTAATGCCCGCAACGTAACAATTGTTTAAACAAAGTGAGGGGACGCAGTTATAAATAGAAGCATTATCGCGAATTACCAGAGCACACGGCTAACAACATAAATAACTTCTTGTTTTGTAGCATTGAAAAACCAGACAACCACCACAAATCCTAAAAGTTGACAGTTTTTTGTATTTGGGACCCACGGAGGTCAGGCTATTTACTACCCAAAAACGAAGTTTTGCTGATCCTAGATGATACAGAACTATTTACAAGTGTTTTAGTGGTAGCCTTTACATTTTTTTGCCTTCTTGGTAAACAGGGTTAGCTGATGGTCAACGTCAGGTTAAGACTTCATATGTTTTCTCATGGTTATCCTGTCGAATTTTGACAAATATCTGTGCTGGATAACTTTATCGTACTGTTCACTCACTAAATTAAATAATTCTGACCCAGATAAGTGTTTTTTTTCGAATACTTTTCATCGCTTATCGCAAAACACCTAAAATTGTGACTTGGAAACCCTAAGAAAACAAACTTGCATGCCTACAGAGTGAACACAGCACATTTTCTTGGAAAATTGCCTTTATTAATCAATAGTGGACTCTCCGTCGTTTCCCATGACCGCCTCCCAACACTTTACAAGCTCCTGGATACCTTCTTTGTAGCAAATGCATGGTTTCTTTCGAAAAAAGTTGGAAGATATTTTTACTTGCGTTTCGACAGATTTATATTTTCTGCCATTCAAATTACTTCTCAGAGCGACATGTGCTCAAGCGTTGTCATGGTGAAAAGTGATGCCTTTTCAACTGACCAAATGCAGACATTTTGCTTAAATTTCGACAGTTATTTGAGTACATTGCCTAAAGTACTTCTCTACACCAATTGTTCGGCCACGTGAAGGAAGCGCGGAAAAGTGACTCCTCATGACTTAGTCCATGGAAGGTTTGTTTGGTCGGCGGGCAAAGAGGCAGGTGGCTGTCAAAGCACTGCTCAATACGCGCAAAACACGACATATCGAGTATCGAGGCGCTTTCAAGTTGCTTCACGTGGCGAAACGCAGTCTCGCAGTGATTCCTTCAGTGTTTATCCGTGAATTATCAGCATTTACTAAATCACGAGAAAGTTTATTTTCAATGCCAAAAGTCGCCCCCTGCGATGTTTACCGTTTAGATTAAAGTCGGCATTTAGAAATCAACTAAACCACTTTTCATCTACCCCAATAACAGGAACACGCCTTAAATGGCTTTGTTGCAGTTCCAACACTCGCTCCTTTTTGAACTCATTTAGCATAACACGACGAAACTGTAACGCTCATTTCCCCCTTTGCATATTGACAACGCAGACAATTTAATTTTTTAAAAATTTTTTCACGGGTATGTTGACGTGTTAAGTGTTTCGCTAATGGCCTACTGGTAACACCAGCACAATCCAAAGTGCATGCCCCTGCTATCCACGAAAGTCGAGCCCAAACGACCGCCATCACCTAATTGCAATTTAATGCTAAAATGGGACAAATGGTACACCCATACAAGTCAGACAAGCAAGCGCATGTCGATGGTCCTGCTGCGTACCGGTGTTGATTCACTACAAACAGAGCACATACCTTCTCACGTCTTATTTTAACTGATGGATCAAGACGTGTGCAACAAAGAGAATTTAGTCAAGAAAGTAGAGTGCTTTAGGTAACAAAAGTTAACTCGAAGCCAGCTTGAAGAAAAATGGAAAACGTGCAGAGTACGAAGAAATTCGTTTACACACTTCCGTAGATTGGATTACACCCAAATCTGTCCATCACGTCCTATCTAGTAAAGTATTAAGACTAAAGAACCGAGAAAAAAGTGGTTTGGGCTCATTTAAAAAGGCGTTAGACGGCATAGGAGCCCTGGTCATACATGCAAATTGACAAGATTTATAAGAAAATATGGACACTGCCAATTACTCGAATGTCCTAAGGGCTCCTATCTTGATTTTGGGTTCAAGGGGGCAAAATGGTCCCATGGCAATGTCGATTAGAAGACAGATAAACGGTTTAACAAGGGCAAGTTGCCAAGAGACCTACGGCTTCCATAAGAGGACCGCCCTCCTTCACCTTCTCCCAAACCGACTTTGAAATGCGCTCAAGCACAGTTGGCACGGAGGCGAAGAGAGTGGGCTTGAGCACATTGATGTCGCCCTGGCACGCGCCCTTCTTGATCCTCGAGGAGGCGTCAGTGAGGGTTTGTGGATTCGAGAAGCCAATCGGTATGCCCATGATGAGCAAGGACAACTCCGAGGTGAGCTCCAACACATGCGCCAGGGGCAGGTAACCAATGTAGACGTCCGACTCGGGGTTCAGCTTCGGCAGCCGACGAAAGAGACCGGCGATGGTGCAAATCATGTTGTTGTGCTCGATTTCGACACCTTTTGGAGTGCCTAGTGAAGGCAACCAAGGGACGCAAATCCGTCAAACTAACAGTCGAGATCATTGACTCAATTTGAATTTGGCCGAATAATTGAGCACTTTAATTTAGGAATCACTTCCAGCAATTGGTAGAGAGCTACGTTAATTTGGACTATTGACTAGGTGACAAGTAAGGACAGTAATTACATGCACCATTTGACATAAAAAAATTACTTTAAGAAAAACTGTTCCCTGCAAATGGACATTCACCTTAATTAATGCACATCAAACTACCGTGACAAAGGTTAAAGCGATCGATACGAAATAATGGATACGAAAAAGGGCACAACCAATAAAAATTAGTCCACTTTGCAAAAACTGTGGCGATGGGCATTTTTAAAGAAACTCCTCTCAGGATAGTAATCCCCAAGACTTAGATATTGAAGCAATGTTAGTAAGTTCAGATTTACTAGGCTCATTTCTCTTAAAAAGGTCGATTGGAAAGATTACAGATTTCGGTCCAAAGTAAGGAAAGATTTTGAAGTCGGAAGCGGTCATTAAGCAAAAAAGAGGGCCTATTTTCATACTGTTTCGACTTCAACTTGAAGTCGTTAAACACTGTCCTGGACAAGTAGTCATAAACCACAATGTTAAACAGCAAGCCTGGGACGATCGAAGTGGTTTTTTTAAAAGTACGCGAAAAAGGAGTAAAGGGGCAGGAAATACGAAGCGCTCGAATCAAATGAAGGACGTTTTAGGACTTCTCTTGTCTTAAGAAGTACCATTCTAGAGTTTAATTAAGTGCAAGGGATTTGGAAAACGCAGGTTACTAATCAACAGCACGATTTTCTTTTTTACTATAATAAGTTAATCACTTGCCACTCAAAAAAACTAAGGTATAACGGTTAACCACACTCAACCCAATGAGATTTACCCAACAGTCAGGAGTCAGTTGTTTTTTTTAAATATTAATGTAAGAGCAACCTTGACAAAAATAAACAGCCTAAGAAGGAAAAAAAACGCTCCTTAGTAAGGGCACGATGCAATTATTAGGAATTAATTTATGCGACTATATAGGCAAAATAAGTCGATCGGAAGTTTTGTTGAGTTACCGTTACAAACTGCATCGTTTTCAAATCAAAAAATGGCATGTCAACTAACTTTAATCTGCTTTGAGGGAGAAAAACAGTCTATTGTTGAAGCTTTAGTCACTGCACTTATTTACTATGGCAGACAAGCTACAAGTTGTGACCTACCAGTAGACCCGCTGGTATACATAATTACAGCGAGATCATTAGGTTTTGGCCGTTCTTCAAGGGGAGGTTGCCAGTTGATGAACTTGTCCTTATTTTTACGCTCTGCAGGTGACATTTCTGCCTTGATTGCTTCCTTCCCTCGGATTTCCAGCTCCAGAATATCAAAGAGCTCTACACCTTCAGGGAGAGTCTTGAGGGCAGTCTCTACGGACTTGCGAGCGGTATCATTGAAGCGAGAGAGGTCGTGAATATCGAGACCTCGATGCTTTTGGATTACCCCATTAGAGAAGTAGACAACGTATTTGACAAGAGGACAACGAGGAAGGAGGTTCACGACCTTGGAGAGGAGCTCATCACTTGTCAAGACGACGGAGGCCTAAAAACCGAATAGCATTGGGCCATGTGTTTACATCTAGCATAGGATGCCCTAACGCGGCTTCATAAGTAGCAGTGACCTCAAGAAAGGAGGGAAGTACGGGGCCGTGTTTTGGGTATCTTGCCGAAGTACACTGACACGGGAAGGAAAAGGGTACATGCTACAGCGTAGAACATGTTGCCTGCTCTTGACAGTCAAATAAACACAGCATTTAATGGAATTTTCGAGGTCAAATTTTCACATAAAACAATATTATAACAGTAAATAGTTCAGTTAAGGTTTTGTAAAACAAAGTGTTCAAGCATATATACCCGCGTACACAATTTTGTTGATGCAAACAACATTTCCTGACCCCTCAAAGGAGGGATGGGGGAGCAAAATTGAACTTTGATGTTTAAACAGAACCAACTTCAACACAAACACGGGGGATCTTTACCCAATCTTATCCTCAAAGGAAAAGAGACAAACAATGTGCCAGTTAACCTAGGACATGTAACATAATAAGTAAAATTAGACTTTCCATTTATTGGTCTGGGAGAAATGACCTGAAATAATTCGAATTTTATTCCACCGAGACCGTTAAAACAGGGTCAAAGCTGTGTGATCTTAAAATGTCTCAAAACCCTGATTATGCCTCAGGCCAGAAATTTAGAGAGAAACTAACAAGACAGAAACATTCACTGATCGAATTACGTTCGCAAATACCACTATGACAAACGCAAATATTAAGAGCTCCATTCTGGTTAATACGCTCGGGACCTGCAACACCAAGAAACCAGAAACAAATATATGTTCGGAATGCAAATGGGGCAGCAGAAATTTCTGTTGCTGATGGATATTACGTGATGTGGTAAACCTTAAAAGGGCCCAGCACAAAAAGTCGCCGGAACACTATTAACGAAATGAGTATTAAGACTATTCACCAATTAGACATGAGTACGAAAAAAAACGACCACAATTCGAAACACTATAGGAGAAAGGATTTGGAAATTAGTAGTTGTTAGAGCAAGACACTGAAACAACTTAATTTTAAATACTGAGACGATAGGCAGTTCAAGCGAAAAACACACACCTCTGTTTGTTCTAGACCATGGACAACGGCATCGTCACCAAGGGTCGCGTAAAGTGTTGCAATTGGGCGATTGAGGCGCCAGCTGGCTTCCGCAGCGTAGAGCCACTCGGGGCGCGTCTCGGAAAAAATGACCAAAGGAGTCGGACAGTTTCCATCATCCTTTCTGTCGGCAGTGCTGGGCCCTAGAAGGTGACGCAAGCCAGCCGAGAGAGCAGATACTCGACGTTCAGCTTCAGCATACGTTTCCCACACGTATTCACCCATAGTGAGTTTTACCATCCTTTTACCATCCGGCGTGACCTAAAAAAGAAGAGACAAGAATGTCTTTAGAAATCACAACAGATCCAGGCAGGAATTTAAAATCCTGATGTGCACTAAACCTGGATCAGCCCATTTAAATACAATTTTTCTTGAAATTAATAGTGACATTTGACATGAAAAGGATGCTATCACCGATGTATCTCAGTGTCTTATAAATTCGAATAAACACAACACCCAAAACTAAAGTGGATTAAAATGAAGGTAGCAGCTAAGTTTCACTTAAAAAATTTACCATACTATTACCCTTTTCGTTGTTTACCGAACACATTAACCAAATGAAATTAAGCATTAACTTTTTATAACTAGATTCGCCAAGGAGCATTAAAAACGGAGGGATAAAAGGTTGTAGAAATTGCAAGAAGCTACTACCACTGACAATTTACGATAACACATCAGGACAAAATAAAGAAAATTTAGGCTTAAAAAGCTAACCTCATAATCTGTCTCCAGAATCTTGCGGGTACCAAGTGCTGGCTTCTTAGGCCACAATTTAATTGTGCGAAGCCACAGATCAGATAAAGTGGGACATCCGGGAAGAGCAACGGTGGCCAAGTTGTCAATATACTCCACAGCCCGCCATGAACTTCCAGGATCGCCCTGCTTCACAGGCAAACTGAGAGTTCGAGATTCTTCAGCAGCGAACTTTTTGAAGTACGATTGTTCGTCCTCGGGAAACGGCATAAAATATTCGGTTTTGCTGAACATGAAATATATTGGGAGAGTTAAATACTCATAGGCGTAAACCATGAGTTTGATGAAGACCATTGCGACAGTGACGTAAATGTCCGATAACCAGGACATGGCTGGAGAACTAACTACAGCAGATCTTCCGATAAAAGCAGGCAGTCTAAAAAACGACCTTCAAGATAACTCGGTTAAACTAAAGGTCGCAAGTAACGAATAATAAAAGCACGTTACAAATCTTATATTACTATTCTAACAAAAACTAGTTCGTTGTGTTAGATTTAATTATTAGAGATGGTGCTAATGCAAAATATTTTGCTGAAATTATTAATTAAAAGTTTATAAAATAAATAAATAGACCAATAATAACCTTAAAACTCTGTTAAATGTATGCAGAATTTAAACCAATTTTTAAGACCTACTACATTGTTAGAGGATTCACCACAACAATGTTAATAATTTTGCTATTTTGTTTATTGTGGATTTCAGCAGAAAAAATAACCTTAATTTTTGGAGTACTTTAGATGAGTTTACAGAATATATTGCTAATTTCAATTTGTCTATCATGTTATAGGAAAATTTTTAATTCAATTTGACGTTTTCGAATTGAAATTCTAGAGCAGAATGCGTAAAACATCTGCAACTTATTATTAATACGAATTAATTAAGTGAACATTTATCAAAGCCTATTTGAAATAAAACCCATTGGGGTAAGGGGTTCAGGTATTTTTATAATCATCAGTGACCCATAGCTAAGAAACGTACGTCTGTAAGAATTCGTGTTAACGCCTCCTATTTCGGTTTGTGGATTTATACAAATTAATGCAAAAGTTTTGTTTAGTAACTGTAATGCGCTTCTAATTACTTTTAGTTCATGTCTATAAGTATTCTTAAAGCTTTAGGGCTGCATAAATTTTTTGTGCACAGTGATTTCGTAATTATTTATGGGCGTTATAAAACAATAAAACGGCAAGTTTTAATTCTTTTTATCGAAATGTTAAGTTGCTCAAATTCAAAAAAAATTTACAGAAAATTTGGGATCAACATTGGTTATTGCAATTAAAAATCCATTTAATTGCTCCATCAACGACTATTGAAGGCGGTGGCGGCTCTAGGGCAGAACTTTACTTTTCAAAAACTTTCAGCAGTAAAGCATTTGTGGCAATAATATGTGTGTTCATTATTGTGTACCGAAACTCTGAGACGTTTTATTAAGATCGTCCGAAAGACACAATGCTTCTGGACGTAAAAGTTATGTGAAATATTTTGATTATAATAAATTAACAGAATGTCCCACTTTTATTAAAGTAAATTCTTTTTTTTATAAGAAAAAACCTAAAATTAACAACAAGATCTTAGCTCTTTGTGAAATTGCAAGTGTCAAAATTGCTTCTATTAATGAGATAATAACCCTTTTTGGCCTTTTGCATATCTTTCTAACTCAGACTGCTTAAAATTCAACAGACTAAGAAATAAGTCATGGGCCTACTAATTTTTTGTAACCATTGTCATTTGGTTTAGTTTCTATGCAATTAATTAAGAGATATATGATTCCGAAATTTCAGGTTGTAAACGTTCGCCAACCTTACTTATATAATAATGAGCGTCACAACAGCAACCTACGTCTGTTGTTATAAAGTGTCGAAGCTTGCGCAAAATGTACACAACCTAGAGCTAATAATGTCTGGGATGAAAAATCATCCTGTCACATTACGCTTACGGATTTTTAGATAAAGGAAACAATGCTAATCGTGCTGGGTCACGAGTTGCTGTTTTATAATAATTAATCAAATAAAACAAGGTGGAATAAGTTTCGATCAGTATTTAAAAAAATTAGTTGTGTTGTAGGTGCTAGCGACAACTCAGTTGTAAATATGAATAAATAGTTCACGAATGCGATCAGCTAGAATTTCGTATTAATGTGTATGAGGCACACTGGAGTCTTGATTTGTATAGCAATATTTGTCAGAGTTAGCGCAAACTGCTAGCATATTTCGTCGACAAAAATTCCGTATTAATGATGAAATTTGATTTTAAAGGCAAGTTTACAGTGGAACATCAAGTAGAATTTTGTGGAATCAGAAAGTAGACCTTAATGTCAAAAAATTATTATTAGCTTATATCTATGACCTGGTTCTTTTAAGGCTTAAAACCACCAAGCTTACAACGTGACCCTGCTTTAGCCTACACGAAATTGATGTATCCATGACACCGATGGATAGTCATTATCTTTCTGTTATGTCATTTCCTTGCGACACACGTCACGTCTCATTTACTAATTCATCAGAACTGTAATACTGGATAGCGGACATGCGACCCATTTTCTGCTACACCATTGCAACATTAACGCATTCCCAATTCAGTATCCTCATGGACTCGACAAATACAGCTGTGCATATGTAAAAAAGTCATATAACTATATGGTAACTCGTTTGCATCTAGAATCATTCGAATCCTAGTAACTAGAGCTAAATTAAATCACAACAACGCAAACACAAAGGTATTTGGAATGTTTTTATTCCCAGATTCAGTCATAAGAATGGTTTCTTCATGATGTAAGACAGGGACTCTTCCAATACTTGGATGCATATCTTAGGTTAATTGCACAGTCAGACGAACGAGAGATAAACCTACTGATAGAATATATCCTTTACAGCCTTTCATGTGGAGAAGTGATTAGAGATAATGCCCTACAAATTTTGAGTGATTATTTGCCCCATATCTATTGCTTTACCTTACTTAATTTATATAACTTGATTAGAATTTGTCAATTTTTGTATGAGTTTTACATTTTAGATCCGATAGCTATTGCTTGCTCACTTAAAAAATCGGTGCCATGGATTTTTATTCTTTCCCTTAAAAGGGAATAAACCAAAAACTGAAATAAGTTTTATACAAAATGAAGCTGATGAACCTGAGAACTAGACGTAAAAAATATCCTGATAACATGGATTTTTTTACAAATTCAATGAGAGTTACTTTTCGGTGGTTGGTGCCTTTGCGTAACCAATGTACACATCCACGATAATTGTAGTTGCCGCGTGGTTTGTATAGCATTTTTGTTTTGCATCATTTTATGTTTTGGCAAGATACTTTGTTTATACCATATGATTTAAATTATAATGATAGCTATAGTTAGATAGACTTTTGTGTTGACATTCTGTTGATCGCCAATTACTACAATGACTAAGGTTGAATGAATGTAATAAATGTTATTTCCATTCCATGCATTTTGAAAAAACCTTGTAGTTAGACACTTAAGAATTATAGTTAGACGTGATTAAGAAAAAAAGACAAATAGATAAATCTATCTAGATTTTCACTGGGCGTTAAGATTTCATCATCTCATCGATTCATTTCCACCAAATTTGAGTCGACTAGCTATGGTGGCTTAGGACATTGTTTGTATTCTGCAGCCAACGAAAAATTAATGGATGAGTATTTAGACCACATAAAGTGATCTGAGATGCTCTGTTGAGTTTAATGTTGTACAGTAACCCAGAGATTCCTCATTTTTTTTCATTTTATAGAATCTGCATACTAATAATATTAATTTGAAATGACTAGTAGCTGGAAGTAGGGTTTATTGATTTTTTTTGTAAAATGACTAGCACATTTTTTGTTTACAATCTGTATAAAGTAAGATATAAAATGTAATGATTTCATGTAAAGTGCACTTATTAGGGCAAATAAATTTATCTCATTTTATTTTCTTTAACTAGGACCTAAAAGAGATTTTTAAGTTTATTTTGAAAATACCTGCTTCAGATATGCCGTAACATGAATGAATGGAGAGTTGTGAAGGCAAAAAGAGGGGAACGAACATCAGTGAGAGGGTCACTCTCAATAAGAATCTACCTGAAGATGAACGTCAACTGTGTCGCTACATTGCTGTTTCACGAAATTCTCGGACATCTTGGGTTCATCCTTTCAGTTTTCACATTTTTAATATCAACAGATGTTGTGGGCAAGCTAAAGATCGCATTGCTGCCCTCCAAAGTCTGAAGCTTGAACTTAGCGAAATAACCCATGTGTCTCCCAGAGAGCTAACTAGTGCCATTACTGAATCCCTCTCAGAATATCTTGGGCAGCTTTTTGAATGCCTCTTGAGTATGATTGGAGATTGCGAATGCGAACATTTAAGTATTCAGTGTATCAAAAGCCTTTTCCAGGTGTCCAATCCCATTCTGGATGAAGAACCTTTAAAAATCTTTACTCATTGTATTTCTGCTAATAATCGAAAGGTCACAAAAACCCTTTGCAATAACCTATTGGACATGCTGCCTAAGGAAGCATTCACTCTAGCACACCCAACGCAGGAGTTTATTTCAATATGTACTGACCTTATTGAAATGGTTCTTCACTCGGGGAATGAAAAAGTTTTCTGCGCGGTGATTGAACGTCTTGACCCATCAGTTTCATCTGCAGTTCTTGAAAGCCTTCGTGTGAATTCTCAAAATTTGTACAGAAAAGCTTGGCTCTACAATAAAAGTCTAGTGGATCAGCTCTCAGGAACAAAATCCAGTTACTGTGACTTGACGTGGACACCGAAGGAAATCGAAGACAATGCACATCTACTTTGGAATCGGTTTGCAAACGATTTTGAGAGCGTTTCTTTTGTACTTTCTGGTACACTTTTTGAGTCAATCAATTTACTCTCAAACGGAAACCTTTCTGGAAACACCGCTCATAGCGTTGCCCTGGAGGTGACCAACAGAATTGAACACCATATTTGTCAATGTATTTCGGTTGTTGAAGCTAATAAAAGGATTATGCTTGTGAAGACACCCCAACTAACTGTGATCTGTGCAATAACGGAGCTTTTTTTAATGAATTCACACTTCAACTTGATCCTCTTGGGATTGAACTCCTTTACTAACGTGATTGAAATAATCAGCGAACAGAAACCAAGAAACATATCCGAAAGTGATTACAATACTTTGTTTGTTAAGTAAGAAAAAAAATTTTTTTAATCCATCTACATAATTAATTGACTATCTCTGATTATTCAACTAGGATCCGGGTTGAATTAATTAGTGAATAATTGTTTTCAAGTATATTTAGTAGTTGGTCTATATTTGCAACTTAATTCATGTTTACTGTTGTATAGTTTAGTGCGAATCTCCTAATTTTCGGATATCGACTAATATCAGAGTTACTTCCTAAGTTTAGACGCTGCAAAGAAATAGACCAAGATTTTCGACATTTTACATAAGTGTTTTTTTAAAGAAAGCCATCCTGGTTATATTCAGTGAATTGAGTCTTAAAAACAAATCAAGTCTAAATTTTTAAATGAAGTCTTCTGCAGAAAACTGAGGAAAGTGTAGCATATATTGTCCGTATCCGTATTACTAATATTCGGTCCGGAGGTGCCTACTGGACGTGAAAGCAAACATCAAAATGCTCCGATTGACTGACGACGAGTCTGCATTACGGTTGGCATGGGTTCGATATTCCCAGTTAGCACCACCGCTGTATCAAGAACATTGTTCAGAAATAGGAAGCTAGCATGAGGCATTCTGTAAGCACATGCCTACATGATGTTTTTTGTGAAACCATGGCTACGAACGTAAATATTTGGCCAAGTAGAAGCGGCGACACAAGTTAATAGGACAAGCATTGACTTGCCTCTCGATGCACCCATTTAGAGAATGTTGGTCATCCACAGAGGTGCGCGAATTACACTTTTTCCCGACGTTTTTTTGATTTTTAAAACTGAAAACTAATCTAAAACACGTCGTTCAATAGAGCCCCACTCTTGTGCTTGTTTGGGTCAAGGTTTTTGTACTTGACATTGTGGACATTGAAAGTTCATTATTCACTTTTATGCATCTTCTGGATTTGGATCGGTGTTAAGGACACGGAACACGGCCTTTAGGCACTTTGACCCAAATTTAGGATTACGCATGCCCACTTCGGAGTTATGTTAATCGAGAAGTTATGACAACTTTAACACTAGTGGCGCCCTGTCCAACTTCATCAAAATCAACCATATTATGAACACCTTATCTGCATTTTAACTTGGCACTCTTCTAATGCTGCTCTCAGATTCATCAGAAAGCTTAAAATGACAGGAAAATAGTTTTGGTTTGGTCCTCTGAAACGTTGGTAATGTTAATTCAGCCATGAAACAAAACCAGATTCCTCCTGAAAACACCTAATATCTCAATGCAATTTATGTAGTGCGTTGATGTAAACAGACCGGTAGAGGTGAGGTTTTCTACAAATTTCTGGCATTTATCTACTCACGTTCATTTCAGTCAAGGGGAAAATGGCTACTGTTGGGTAATCCGGCTTGCCATTAGCTTCCTTCGTATCGCCCTCCCTGACTCCAAACTTGCCATTCGAACGGCCGGCTCACAGCTGGCTCTGGTCCTGTTCCGCCTTCCTGGGGGACCAATGGCCTTGATTCGAGGACTCGTCGCCCCTGTGCTCAGCTCCAACGACAACACGTCCGAGGTATCGTCCGGTGCGGCGTCACGTCTTCGACGCGAAGTCATCGATTTGGCCACGAGCGCTCTGCTACTGCGACCAAGCTCAGAGTTTGATTTTCACGAAATCATCGAGTGGGTTATTCTGCCAGGTCTCTTAGATCGCAAAAAAGTGGTACGCAATGCCCCTAATAATCCATTCATTAAAAAAATCCGCAAATTTTCGCCACAAATCACACTCAAGTGGTCATTGGTTGGGTTTATTTTTTTGTTATCACTGGCCACTGCGTATACTCATCTAAATGTGCTCATTACTTGATTGAAAGTTTACCACAACAAATGTTATGCAAGCTTGCCAGGAACCACTTCACTATCCTACTGAAATACCCAGACAAGGGTCCTATATGGCATTTAGTTGTTTTCAATAGTTTGTTATGAGTTAGAGGGAAAGCCGTGGAATCATGGCAAGGCTACTTATAGATTAGAACTGGCACCGGAAATTACTTTGTTCGAAATTTACGCCTCTCTTAACCCATACACCCTAATAACTTGAATTTATGACAATTTATTGTCTAAATCTTATTTACGTAAATTAAACAGTCATTGTGAATAGATCAAGCTAATACGGCAAAGGATTTACGGTGTTTTGTGTTTTGGTTTCTGCCCAGTGTAGAAACAAAGCGGTTGAACTTTTAGACAAAATATTAATGATTGTACTTAATTACTAAAAGTAGCCGTTCTTTAACATTACGCTTGAGTTATACCTCGTGTTTAGATTTCTAAACAGATCTGGAGGTATGAAATGAGCGTAGCTGGTTTACACAATCCAGTCAGGTAAATGAAATCTCATTGTGAAAGAATTTCCAAATTACATGAATAAGTTTCTAAGCAAAATCTGCAAGAATAAATATCAGTCCTTTTTGTTGCAGCACGTTCCTTTTGCTTCTTTCAATAGTACCGAGCGTTTACAGAAAAAAAATATGACAGGCTGTGTTTGCCTAAGGAAAATTTACGTATAACAGACTGTCAAAAAATTTCAGTCCAAGGCCTTGTGCTTGATGTATTCTACAGCAGAAAAATTAATACCTCGTAGTTCAGACGTCTCAAATACTTATATCCGGTTGATTCCCTACTCCAAGAAGGAAGATAATTTGCGCAGAGCGCTATTGTTTGCTGTTATTACTGGCAGTGCGATATCAGTACATTTAGCACCAGCAGTGCGTAGGTACATACACACACAAGTGCGTGCGATTATCTCCTTCCTCTGTTAAGGTGACATTCGATTCGACCAGGTGTAAGCAGGAGCGTCTGATGATGAGACAGGTCTGGATCCTAAGCAAATGGTGTTTACGAATAATTAAACAAACCTTTGGGAAGAGAAACAGGGTCTAGTACGAATTCTAGTTACGTCGGGATGGACAGTTGAACTTTGAAGAAGGCCCCCATCGATGACAGAAAATTCATTACCAAAACCATTGGCCCAACATGCAAATAGACGAATTCGACTTTGCTAGGTGGAGGCACACGCCCCAGACAGTCAGTGGCTATAAATGGGCACTGAGGGCAATCGTAGCCTCCTACCGTCAACATGGTGGGAATTGTTTGGCTGTGGATGATAAAACTGGAGGTCTAAGATAGGTGATTGAGATAGTCGTTGAACGAACCGCTTGAATATCCACGACGGTGAGCCACTGCTTCAGGCAAAGCATCATTAAGACGCGATTTTGTAAGATGGTGGCACAAAGTGTGCTGCAATGCAACCTCATACATCCGTCCCAGTACAATCGAGAATCTACAGTCCAGTTGGGAATTTGAGTACCTAAAAATGAGAGCTTCGAAAAGTGTTAAGAAAAGCGTCTAAGGGGAAGCCTCTCCAAATTTCTTCAAGGTTAGTGATGGCAGAGTAAGATTGAGCCGAGCGCATCAGTTCATTGGACAAACGATGTACTTGCAGAAAACAAAACTTCACTCTGTGGCAACATACTTTTGCTGCAAAATTGACCACTTGTTCGCTATAGGAAAGCTTGGCGCTTACCAGAACGCCACTTTATCGCCAGCTTTGTGATGCGTCGACCAATCAGATGGCCACAAGCACCAGAGGATATAAAGGCTCGTTGTTTAGCTGCACCCCTAGTTATCCACTGAGTAAGGAATTATTACGCCCATTCGTTTACGTAAGAAATTTTACCTTTCTTTGAGTAGCCTAAAAAATCTAGGTATTGTGTTACCAAATCTGTTTTTCATTAAAGAAAGCAGCCTAGTCGCATTCAAGCAATTAAAAGATGCCCAACCACTGCAGTCACACACAAATTTCGCTGTTAACGATGAATAAGTTAGGCAAAATTTCGCATTACAGAGATTTACTCCCAAGATCAGTGGCATTTCATATCTATTAATTCGTTAATTTGTTTTTTTTGTGGATTAAGTAAGTGGCACGGTATAGCTACAAAACCTGTTTGTGTTACGTGTCGTGTGTTTATTTCTTAAATGGATGCAATGACTTTTGAATTTTTGCTAATCAGTTTTGAAACAACCGGTTAATTACCTTGCACAAGTCTTTTGCGTGAAGCGGCTTGATACTTTTATGATTTCAAAGCGATAGTCCACTTAAGGCCTTAAAAACCTAAACTGCAGACTTGACGACACAGAATTTAACTTCAGACCGCTAAAATTTCCCGAAGGACATTATAGCTTTTGCTTTGAAAAAGTGTAGATTAGCGGTTATATTATGCTGATATAAACTTGTCAATCGGTAAATCTATTTAATTCAAATCGATGCTCATTATCTATCCTCCAGTACCCCAAAAACGTTTTGATTATTTAAAATTTGCCTGTTATGTAGCGGTTTTTTTCTAGGATGATTACTGAGGGCTTGGCTACACCTCACTGCCATTTTGAATGATAGCTAAGAGATGATTGCCATCAAGTTTAATTTTAATCGGAAATTTTGCATTATTGAAGTTTTAGATCGAAGAGCAATTGAAAATTTATTCATCCAGTGGATCAAAACTCTTGGGCTACTTTTATAGAAAGAACATAAAATTTTAAAAAATTACTATGCCTTTCGGTTATGTTGCTAACACACACACCAACTTGCAACCACGAACGAATTTGGCGATGATCTCTAAGAAACCAGTTGAAGGGTCTAAACACGAGTGCAAGTCCTGCCGAGCTGGTAACACAATTCAAAACTGAAGTCCGTCTTTGCATTCAGGACGGTTTCGCTGCGGCAGTCACCGTCTAAAAGTGTACAGCCCCAAACTTGGTTTTCCAGTGATTGGGTTTTAAGTTAGAACGATTAACGGAATGCCTGTTCTAGCTGCAATTTAACCAAAACTCGTGCTGAACTATTTGAAAATCGTGGAAGATAATTTCGGGAAAGTTTATTCCCAGAATTTTTGTTTTGCCATCTTTCCAGGTTTATGAAGCAGCTGTTGACTGCCTCACGGTATCTGTAAGCATTCTGGGCGATTCACTTCTCACATTTGTTGAGTCCAAACTACCGGCTGCCGATCGGAATAATAACAACGAGGAGAGTTCACCCGAGTCTCCTGCTGGCTTTGCGCTTCGAGAGACAATCCGCTTGGCAGTTCTTCGACGTCAACTCCCCTCCCTCGATAATCAGGGTCGTCTGGATCGTGGAGACAGCAATCGTTCGGAAGTGGACAGCATCGGAAGGATGTCGGCTTTGGGACAAGTTAGCTACGATGCGTCGCCTCTTGGGGGTAAGGCAAATCCACTTCGAAAAGGAATGGGCACCATTTGGCAGGGTTTTGACAGTTTAATGAACTTGCGATAACTCTTATCTGCTAATATGTCACCTTTGGCGATCGTGATGTGTCGTTGGTGCTTTTAAAGGCTTGAGTGTGTCCATGTTCAGTGGTGTAGCTTTCCTAGCAGTAACATGATTGTTTTGGTATGCAGAAGCTGGGTACGCATTGAGAACCGTATCGCTTATTTCAAAATCAGGTAATTTCGGAACTGTGCCCAAGCGTTCAGGCAGAACGTTTTTTTTATCAAAATGCTTTTGTATACTTAGTCCAAACAGCGAAATAAACGTGATCAGACAAACCCCAAACTCTTGAAATTTTTGTAACCTATTTTTAATTCTTCACCTTATAAATACGGCCAGAAAAACATTGTGGAGAATGAATTTTTCACTCTTAAACAAAATCTTGTGATAAAAGAGGTTAATTATACAGCCTGAAGTATTCTGTAATGGACTTTTAAAGTCTGATAAATTTACTTTTACTAAAATGACCAGACTTTGAAAATCTGGGAGTACACATTCGCAAAAGCATAATTTCCAATTCTGTCAGCTGCAGTGCAGTTACAGCTTTGAAAGGTTAACACATTCCTTTGTGCTTCGATCGATCCCTTCTGGAAGCAATGGAAGTAGTGCGAGTCTGAGCAAAAGATTTCCATGCTTGAAGCGAAGGACTGACGTCCAGGAACAAACGAACGTTGAAATAACAAAGTGCAGCTTGTTTGCTAGTTAAATTGCTGTGTGTTCATCGACATTAACCTTTGAAAAAATCACTCGTAAAGTAAGTTTATTCTACCACTACAGTAATGACCTTTTTCGGCACAACCCCACCCGCACAGTTTCAAAAATGCAATGGAAAAAAGATTCGTCGATGTTTAATTTTAAAATTTGTGGTTGGCATTGCCTCCCTTTGGTGAATTTCATGCAATGAAGCCAACTTTCCTTCCTGATTTTTTCTTTTTTTAAAATTAGGACAGAGTGCTGCTGCGACATCCGTTCTTCATTCAAATGCACATCATTTGTTTTCGAAAAAACTTAATCGAGGACATTTCCTTACTTGAGTTCACTAGTTAATTTTAGTTTACAATCTATATTAATGCCTAATGTGGGGCTGGCGTCTTGTCTCAAGAGTAACGCAATTCGACGTATGCCTTGCAAAACTTATTCAGTGAAGTCTTTTTGAAATGAAATTTGTTTTGATACCTTGCGAGGGTGTGGGCATGTGCTTATGTGCTTCTTGTCGTTGTGATTTTAGCGTTGAAAAACCCAAGTTGATTTTGCAAAATCCACTTTGGATTTACCAGAACGTTTCCCTGATGCGGCCATTGTGACTTGTCAATTAGCCATCTGCCCCGATAAAACTCAAATAATATCCAAGCTAACCCTTGGTTAGGAAGTGTATGTAATGTGTATTATTTTTACTACGTGGTCTTCACAACTGCCTAAAAATGCAATCTGAGGGCACAGCAAGGTTTTTTCGAACACCAAATCACAACGCCTCTTAAGTGTGCTCATTTCTTTGATGCTAAGTACCTTCAACCATGGGATAATTTTTTTAAAATAATTCATCATGATTTAGTCAATTTCCCGTATTCAAAAAGAATACGTCATTCATAAATAGAAACTACATTCTTTCGGGGGAAAAAGGTGCTGTTTGTCTTTTTCATGGATGCCACCACTGCTAAAAGATAGCGATTTGAATTATCGGGCTCAGCACAACTACTTTTATACGCGAATAGAGCGTCGAAAGCCAAGTGCGGGCCGAATGCACGGGAACCTTCGCCTCCCCTGGGACCCACGAGAGAGCGTCGTAGTCGTTGGCAATTCAAGCGGACCCTCGCCACTCACGACAGCCAGCAGTCCCTTCTCCCTTCCCAATCTCTCCCAAACCTGCGTCACCCCGTTAGGCAGTGCGGCTGCTGGGGTAAGCCTGCATGATATTTTAAAATTTCACAAACTTCTATTTTTTTCAAAATCATTCAGTGCGATTCCAGATAAGATAGTTTCTCACTACTTTACATTGCCATAAATTCTGCTCTGTTTTTCCGAACCTCTTAGAAAAGAAAATGTCCAATATTACAAAAGTAGCCACACAATCAAACCTAGTGATAGTTGTGCGAATCGATTCATTTCCTAGGAGGCAACTAAGGTCAGGTATCAATCCCTTAAAATGACTGTTTTCTAGTTAATAAAGACACTTTCACACCTCAGTATATTCATTAGTGCCCACTCATAATGCTGCCAAGTCTGACTGTAGCACTTAGTACTTATTTTTCATTAATGAGTTATGTGCTTAAAAAATTGTGTTCAACGTGACTGTCAGCAAAAACAGAAAGGAAAGTTAACTGAGAGGTCGTTTTAAACTACGACTGCGAGTGACCTAAAGCTACAAGACGTATTTATAAAAGCGCATCAACAAAACATCCGTTACTATGAATTAGATTTGGCTTCTGCGGTTGAAACCCACGACATCGAGGTGTACAAAGGGAAAAAAATACCAAAACCATGTTGCCAATTTCAGGATTCCCTAAAGTTTTCCGTAGCCAAGCCTTTAGTTCTGGGTGCGTCGTTTCCAAAATGTGGAAACGGGCGTAGAAAAGTGTGCCTTCAGAGTAAAAGAGTACGTAAGGGATTCTGCCAGCAGCCAGATTGATGCAAAGACAATGGATTTTGGAGGTAGTCAAATTGAGTTAGATGCCTAATCTTGTCAGTTAATCCCGCAAACCCAAGAACATTTGCTGCGATTGTTCACACTGAATGCTCCTTCATTAAACCAAGCCTTATTGTTCAATTTGTTTAAGGCAGCTATGCTAAAACACGGATTCCCATCGATATGGCGCCACATTTAGCACGTTCCTACTTAACTTCTTTGAAACCTGTATTTTATTTTACAGTCCCGAAGGCGATTTGACAACAGCGCAATTTCAAGTAACCGGCCCTCGGAGATATGTGATTTGAATACGCACCTCGAACAGCCACAACTACGGCGTAGTCTCAACGCCTTTGCCGATTCTTGCGACCAAGGCCATCGCGGTGCGTTCAGAAACTGCACTCTATTTACAGCCAGTAAAAAAAACAAACCTTTTGTTAACAACCTGGTTGCTTAGTAACGACACTTTCGCAAGTCCTTCATAATTTAATATTTTGTTTATTGCACATTTTATGGCAATACAACCTTTTCCAACACTTAAACGCCTTTACTAACTACAGCATCAGTGCTACAACCAAAGAGACCCCTGCGCAACCGTGTAACATGTACGCGAATTACTTTTTTTTAAAGAAATCTTTAACATTTTTTATAGGGCGATTTGAATTTCATGGTGGGCAGATAAGTTTCGATAAAGTAGAACTCCTTTCTGGGATTTGGCTTTGCATGCAAATGATTAATCATCAGTCGAAACACGAGCTCTGAACCTGCCTTAATTTGAATTTGTTTTATTTGAAGTGAAGTGTTTATCTGTGCCTCTCGCTACGTGGCCACCCTTGTCCCTTGTTGCCGTCAGCTACTATCGCATGGATCGTACTCAAACGACTCGCTAACGCCTTGCCGACGACAAGTGTCTAGCCGGCTAAAGATTTTGATGCTGAATTAATAAAAAATTCGTGTAGACTGCATTTTATTCAAGGGCTGTCACTTCTAACTATCATACTGAAAAATACAACAGCTTTGTTCGGTGAGAGAGCAAATACCCATGACCCTTTCTGGGAAACACGGCGATTCAAGCCCATGTTTAAGACATGGAACTGCCAAAAATAAATTTGCCCCCTCGTGAACATGAGAATACTCAAGTTATACTTTGGCACGCTTTCACAAAGGTTAGGAGATGATGTGACATTTTCGACTATGGCTCTTGTTGTTGATTAGAGAAACTAGAATTATTTTTAGTGCTCACTTAAATGATCTAATGATGGACATTTTTATCGTGAAAATGATGATAATGTGTTTCTTAACAAGCACAACTACAGCAGAAAACGAAAAGTGTTTTTATCGACCCGTTCCTGACTGACAAATAAGGAGACTACGTGTGTTTGGAATTGCAATTTTTAGGACACCTCGCTCTAAATATATGCTTAAATTTTACTTGTTAATCTGAAGCCGGTAGTTACTTTTGCCCTTGTTGTTGCAACTGCCTTTACGGTGGATTCAAACCAATAATTGAATATGACTAGCCTGTTCTGTTATTGTGACATCCACTTCAAAGTCAAAAAAGTTAAGTTTATGAAGACTACAAATTAATTGAATAAGACATTTTCTTACTCGTCTTCCTGTACTCATTATCATCTGGCAGCTGCTCAGACAAAATGAATCATATCCTATTTTGCATAATTGGTGGTTCCATATGTAAATGTTTGAGGGGAGGCTTTTACTTCAGACATTTTGAGGTATCCCTAGTTAATTAACACCACACCGTAGCCCAGGTCTTCAAATATTTTTCCCATTTTCAGCGATTTTGTGAACTTAAAATGACTTGGAAACAACTGAATGGGATGTTAAAATATGCTTAAAGGTTGTTTAAGTACATCCTGTAAGTCTTACATTACAACGCACCACTCTACCCTGCCTTTAGTATTGGGTTCATTGGGGCTACTATACGTTGCCCCGGCCTTGGCTGGGTTACGAATTTGATTGCTAAGCCTCACGAGGTTCTGATAAATCAGATATGAGCACGCTAGTGAACAACATTCTGTTGATAGCAGAACAACCAAATCTAAGTTGAACATCGGTAGATCATAAAGCAAATTGCGGTTCACTAGTTCTATATATCGTTGGTTAAATATTTATAATTTGCGTCAACGTTTCTCTGTGAAAAACCCTAAAATGGAAACCCATAACAATAAACAAACCATGAAGTATCTGACTCTTGCGACTTCGCTGACACGGAAATGCACACTTCTAATGGGTAAAGTCAGGACAGCAAAAAGGGTGCACACTTCAGGGGCTAGGTTTTGCATTTTTCAATATTGAGACGAACTTCGCATGATTTTGAGATGTCGTCGCTAAAATGACATGAAGTAACCGGTTGTGCAAATTACTACCATAACCTTACATCATACTACGCGAAACTCAACAAGCGCCATGACCTCTCGTCTTCATCTTTCAGAAATGATTCCAACCTAAGGATGCACTAATCCGTTTGAGACAGAGATACTTTGCTCCCATTTAGAAACTTCCGCTATGACGTAGTGGATTACAGGGTCCTAATCTTACCGAATAGATAAGGGTGTGGTCATAGAGTGACTTGAAAGGTAAAGAAGACTATGGTGAACAAAGGCATGATTTTTGACTCGGGAAAGGGAAATTTTAACTCTCACTTGAATCAAACTCGAAACTTTTGATCAGATTAACAATAAGATACTAGTGGCTAAATTTTCCTTAAGTAAAGCTGTCAGTTAATGAAATTCAGCAAGATTGGTCACGTTTCTAGCCCAGCTATGGCAGTGACATTGCTGGAATGCTGAAGTTCGATTTTCTGTGAGCAGTTATTCACTGAATTCACGCAGAATGAGCACTGTCAGTTACATTTCCTGAAAGAATCGCCACTCTATGGCTTGATCACTTCAAAGCCCCTTTAACGTAATCTGTTACCATTGGAGGATAGGGCAGGTCGAAGTGTACAAGGTCTCTGGATCTTCCACTGGAAGTGGCTACGTGCCAGTGCACAGATTGGCCATAGTTTCGACGTTGCTTTTAAACAAAGAAACATGCATTCCCAATTCCATGTATTCTGCACATTTTGAAGTTATTTGGCTTTTCATGGGAGGCCTTAGCTTCTTTCAGTCTCTTCATTGCCTTCCTTTGAACCTTCGTGTTTATTTGCATTTTAGCCATCGAGTCTCAAGAACGAGCCTCGTTTGAAGCCGTTGGCATCCGCTCTGTGAGAACCCTATCCGGCTCCCTCGCCAACCTCCAGTCCTCGCCCGGAGCTGATGCTATCAACAGCCACAAAGCCGCACAAGCCAACGATGCCGCGGAGGCAAGTACCTCTTTTAGGCAACACGATTGTAGTGACATGGTCTGTGCTTAAGCCATGCACAGAGCGTAAGCTCCATTTGAATATCAATATTATGCACTAAGAACTTACATCGTTAGAACATACGGAGTCACCCATGCGTCACGTAATGTTCAAATAACATTTTTTAAAGGGAATACTTCAACTTACACTTTTAGCACTGTGCCCACGCATTATCTCTTCGCGTATGTCCTTCACTCCAAAGTATTGTCGAGGTGTACACACGAAAAGAGTTCAAAGTCACTTCGTTGATTTCATGATTCCCTGATATTTTTGTGCAATCGAGTCTTTGGTTCCCGAAATTCGATAATAGTTGCAGAAAAATGTGCGCGCCGAACTCCTGCCAGCACCCACTTTTATGCAATGCTAGTGGATTTTAGAGGTAGCCAAATCGGAATAAATGCGTGTTTTGTCAGTTTGTAGTGGATAAGTTTAGCATAACCTCACAATCCTCTAATAAGCAGCCCGTTGGATCCAGAGAAGAAGGCTAAAAGAGGCGACAGAGAACGCGACGGTGTCACCAGCCAAGTCAACTTAGGTAGCTATCCGACCTACCCCTGAGACCCGTTGTCCGCTTTGCTGATTCAGTTCAGTAATTTTCTCGGGGAAAGGGGGGGGGAATACTTGCAATGGACAGAAAGCCACCTCGCGTGAGTGGTGCCTGTATGACGGCCCGATTACACCAATGGCTCACCCCTTTTGTTATTGGTCCTGTTAGCGCTCGCCTATTACGCACGCGTACTCAAACGCACACAAAACCACTTGGCTAGTGTGACACTAATAAGCGGTCGTGTTCTCTGTCGTCTCTTTCCCCCCTCTTCCCAAGTTGTAACGGGCTGTTAACTACAAGTTGGTCGAGCGCTTGAAAAACATTCATTGCAATGTTTCGTGTTTTCAAACTCGTTTCATTGGTTTTAACCAAGTGACCGATGGACAAGTTCGGTCTAAACAAGAGCATCCACGTACACTTGACCATGAAGCAGAATCTCGCTTCACGAGTAGTGACTTAACCTAGGTAGTGATGTCGGCCTTCTGAGGAAATTTATCATGTTATATCGAAATAGGTCTTCGGTATTCGACGAAAGGCCTCTCAAAGACGCGCCCTTCGTTCAAACACCGACTTGGAGCCAACAAGTTGGCGCCTTAGTGACCAATTTGATTCGGACTCCTCAGCAAACTATCGCCTAATGAATCGGTAAATTTTTTTTTGTTAAATTTGCTGATCACGCACTAAAGCGTCAAACACAAAGGGAGCAGCAGTTTTTTTTCGAATTTTGAGGGTCAACACACAGACTGTCGTTTATACAAAAAGGTGATATGCGCCAAGCGGAGATGTTGCCTTAGGTTGGATCGAAAAGGTGTTTTTAGAAATACGCTTTTAACTTGTACGTCTTCGAAATCAAAATAAGCGAATTGTTTAATCATTAATAAATTAGCATTTTACTGTCGTCTGTTGAATACAAACAGTCATTTTCCTCTAGCTGATCGTTTCAATTTGAGTTAAATCATTAGTTTAAGTAACTCGTAAATCGGTAAAAAAGGTATTCGGGGTAGTCCGAAAATGTCCAGATAAATGAAGAAGAGATTGTCTTCAGTAGTGATTATTAAATCCACAATTTTGGCTTCAACGTTCAAATCTGCCATGTGCGTCGAAATAAGACTGTATTAACGAGTAGGCAGTCACAAAGTCGTCCACAGCTCTTGGCGTCATTTTAAACGTGAAACCATGCCTGCAATGCGGGATTTTTCGATTAGTAAATTTATTCTGAAGTTCCAATAAACCCAGCATGTTTCTCATGAATATAAATATCCCGAGCTAATTGTATTTTGCCACTGGCGAAAACACCAACATTAACCTCAAGAACGACAGTATTATAAATGTCTAAATCTACTTTTATACTTGTTCTCATTTACTTATTATCGTACTTGCCAGCTGTGTATAGTTGGGGCAAAGCATAAACTGATCGGGTACTCATGGCAACCTAATTTAACGCGCGGCACTGTACCGTTTGAAACCGGCGGCGCGCCCTCTTTCTAGTGTCGGGTTGTAGGTGTCAGGACACAAAATGTGTGTGTGTGTGTAAACAATAATCGTAGGGATTCACGACCAGGCGTAGGTGCGAAAACCCAACAAAAAACAAAGACATAGTTAATCCGCGAATCAGTGTAGGAAACCTGTATGAGCGTTATGCACGACCCAAAAACCTAACCATTTTCAACTGTAATAATCTCTCCGAAATCAGAGGTTATACATTAATGAGGCTTGCAAATGTGGAGTAGTTTGATGCAGGGACCAATGAACTTTCCTCTTGGCCTGTGAAAACAATGGTTGGCCATGTAAAGTCTAATTTTCGTTTAGATGGTTTTATGGCCTCAATATATGAGACATTGGCGACAGCAGTTGGATGTGTCGGTAATATTTGCGGCGAACTCGCAGACGTATAACATCTATTCACTCCAAGACCAATCAACAGCGAACCACAATGATCATAGTTTGTCGGAAAAACAACTGATACAAGAAAATCTTGTGCTCTCAGTAAGAAAATTGTATCCCAATTTGGGCTTGCAGAGCTAACTGAATAGCTATTAACTGATATTTTCCAACGGCTTCAGCTATCTATACTTGGCATTCACTATGTGGGAATCACTCGCCTCTAAGTAATGACGATGGATGCGCTGAGTTACAGGGTTCAAAATAAGGCTGGGATTTGACACTTTGATGTCAGTTAACAACTAAGTGGTTTCGTGATTATGTAATTAAATTGCAATCGAACGCCTGTTTATTTGTGCTAATATTTGTGCAAATAGAAGCAAGGAAGTTGACTAACGATTTTGCTAAGTCTGTCCCATGGACAGATCCTCCAAAAAATTGAGGGTTTGGTTAAAAGGTTTAACAAAATGAACATCGCTGCAGCAGTCGGATGTTTTCTCACTTTGTTAAGCTTCAACGGACGAAGCAATCAACGTGCCCTCACAACTCCAATTATGCCTTCTTCGCTGTCCACCGGGAGGATTACCGTAGCCACCCACCACCAGAGCCAAAAACCTCGTAGCAAGGGCTCGTTCGGCCCCACTGACCCCCACAGTCCACTCTTGGGACCCCTGCGGGGTAAGTAGCCCACTTTAATCGGTGCCGAACCCCAGGCAAATTTTAGTTTTTAGTCAAAACTCGCATTTATGTGTAAGAAATTAGGGCCTTTTAAAGCCAATTCTGGCCAAGTCACTATTTTAAGCGGTACTCATTGTTGAAGAAATAAAGAAGGTTCTTCATTGCATTAGGAAACTAAATTTCTGCAAAATAACTTGCTTCTTGTTCTACTTTTAAAAACCTCCCTTTAATACTGTCTGAATAAATAATTTCCTGCACTAGGTGAATTTATGCATCCACAGGTGAATAGATTTCCGGTGCAGTCGAGTGAAAATAAAAGTTGAGAATGAAAGGCCTAATCACAAAGCTTCGAGGACTTCATGCCAGCACGCAGGTGGTTTTAATGATTAAGGTAGTACTTCCAGACAAGGACTAGTGCACCGATTGCTAGCCTGAAATGAACCTCTCGGAAGACTAGTCTTGGTCGCGAAGGCGACTGCAGCGTCTGCCCGTAAATAAGGCACCGCTTTTAAATCTCCAGTGAGCGAATCAAGTGACAGCGATCTTCGTTGATCACGCAAATCGTGCACTTTACTTTTCAGGTCAACTTGAGCACGCGAAACGCTCGACGACCCGAGCCCCTGAAGAGACCGAAGATCCCCACATCGACATTATTGGCAAGGGCATCCACCCTAACGGTGTGTCTGCCTGCTGGCTTTTTCGCTGAGTTCAAATTATAAAAATTAGGCTTAAACCGAGACATCCTCAGAGTGTGGATATCCCGTATCATATCACAATAAAAATAAAACGAGATTTATTTAGTTACAGAAATATTGCTTTTTACATTGAATCTTTTACAAGCGTTTTTCTCCTAAGGCCACAACTCACCTGACTACTATTTTGGCTCTGAAAATGTCGAGACTATCTTTAAGTTCCTGATTTTGTCAGATTAGGGTGAAGGGAGTACTGCAGCCCTGAAAGCTTCAGCACACAGTACAAGCCATGTCAATCACATATTGTGCATGCTCTACTGAGCGAACTTGGATGCTTCATCCGCCATCTTAAATTGTGTTGCTTTTAACTTGTTCCCTGCACATAATGCCCCAATGTGTCCACTCCATTTGTTGCGAATCGCGTTGTTTCACACTCGTTAATTCGGTCACTCCAAACTCCGACACACGGTCCCCTTTGTCGCCAGTCTCGCGGATCCTCAGCTCCTCCTCATCAAGAAGAAAGATTATCTTAGATTGTCCTTACACCTAAGTCTCGATGTTAGCCCATGACACACATTCGAGGTTTAAGTACACACGCGCAAACGCCACCCACGAACAACGACACCAACTTGGTTGAGCTCTGAAGTAAACGGTTGTGTCGACGTCCTCTCCGGTATTTTTCCTCATCGCGGGTATCAGGGAAGCGTGATCAGGCCAGCGTTAATTCAGTGGCCTCGGCGTGGTTCAAAGCCACATGCTGGGACCCACAACACATTATCGTTTTTTCGATGACTTTTCATGGACAGTGATTCATCCAAGACGCATTTGAATTCCAATAGTGAAAAATTTGCTCATTAAATCTAATTCTAAGTTTATCCCTATTTTTTAGCCAAACAGATCACGACAAACTCACCACGTGACTCACCTGAGGAGCCTAATGATGATAACCAGGTTTCAGGACGCACAACCGTGCTGGCGAAGTTATCACTAAGAACTTCGGATGAGGTTGAAAGTGTAAGTGTCGTGGATTACCCATTTTTTCTCTCATGTCACGTTAACCGACATAAAGTAACTATACGTGTTTCGCAAGAACGCCATGAATAGCTTCATTGGAACTTCGAACACGAATTGCATTTGACAGTTCCTCGTAATCTTTTTTATGGGTCTCAGCGGACACACTCAGAGCCCACTTTAGCTAGGTTTCTACCAAACGAGAGGCCTAGAATTTTTTTCATGTGGAAGTGGTGATAGTAATTGCAACTGACGGGATTAAGAATTACCAGGGGACTAACATTGAAGATGTTACGAATTCAGTCGCTGCCGACAACTTGTGCAGATTCAGTCACTCGAGTAACTTAGGCTGGCATAAGGCATTATTTATACACCTGTTCCCTTCTGATAGAAATCCCATATGTCTCCTGTGTTCTTTTAATCCGAAGCCCTGTTGATATTCTATGATTTTGGGGATCATCTTTGCCTCCCACATTTGTTGAAGTGCCACACAGTTGCATTCACATTAAACCAGTTGCCTCCGAACATATTTCACGCCATAGGTGCTTGAGCGCTGTCGTTCCCCAGCACACATAAAATACCGCGTATATTGGCCTAGCTCAGCCAATAATTTCACTACCTGAACATTCGAGGAAAGTCTGTGAAACCAAAGAGCAGCTTGTATTTGATTTTTTGCAGGATGACGAAAGTACCATTAGGGCCAACATGAACGTCCTCGCCGAGGCAGGTCTTGCCCATCGAAAGGACCCAGTCTTGCAAGAAGAGGGCGCGAAAGAAGTCCGTACGTCTCCAAACTTTGTTGTTAGGTGGACGCTTAACCAACTGCTACGGTGCTTTTGTGTAATAACTCAATCCACATATCTGCGATCAAGGAACCATATTCTAGTGTCGGTCAGTTTCTTCTGAGTGTGTATGTCCGTTCAGCGAATTTCACGCTTGAAGTTTGGTGGCTTAAAAAACCCAGAATGGACTAAGGTTACGTTTCTGAACCCCCAATACTTCAAGTTCTCCGCCATCCTCGTTGGAACATGGACGACTAATTCCAGGGCCCCTTCCGCATTATGGCGGCGCTTGCTGAGGCCCTTGAACTCCTTCCTTCTGTGGGCTTCCCACACAACAGCATAGCAAGTTGACAACCGATAGATGCTGAGCAGAAGTAGAATTTCGTGATTAATCGCGTACCGCATAAAGTGCAAACCATGTCGTATTGCACAAGGCAGGAAGTAGTCAAACCTCGGCAGGCAAACTACAGATTACTTTGAATTCAACCAAAAATTAACGCTACAGAGCTTAGCTTCCTTTGACAATTAAAGTATGTACTAGAATGGCAGCCTCATTCTGTACTTGTACTTCCCTGAGTAAATCTCTTGTTTTTAACAAAAAAATAAGCTATTTAACGTACGGACACTGAACAGTGCAAATCAGTCCTCCACACACTTCTTGGTGTAAAAATGTTACCTCCGTTGGAGAAATCGTGGGGATTAAAAAAGTTGGCGGTGAAATTCTCAGGAGATTACAGGAACTATCAAACTTCTTGAAGGATTTATTCACAAGCCGCAAATCTTCACAGATAGGTACTTTAATACAAAATACAAAAGCACTTTATCCACAAAACAGGAAATAAAGTTTGACTGTTCCGTTCTATGAATAGTGAAGATTTATGCTCAACGGTAGCTTGCAGAAGTATCACCTAGGTAGATATTCCAGCAAGACAACTCGAAGAAATTGTCCCAAATACGGTAAATAATAATCTAAGACATCACTGAATTATTTTGGGCAACAAACCAGACAGGAATTTAGTGGAGGTGGACATGATTGATGGTCTTAGACACTTCCTCGCGTATCGATACGTCCTAAAGTCTACATTGTCCCACACCAGGAATGGTGACTTATTGTCTCTTTCATTGCTCTCTTGTAAGTCTCATACTAAAACGTGGCCTATGTGCTATTGACACCAGGGTAACGTGTTACCAGTCAGTACGCACGTGTAGGATGTGTTCCAAAAAAAAAATCGTGATTATTTTCAGGATGGACTGCATTTGTGTATCCAGCATGATCCGATATTCATCAATAAGGTGGAACATAAAAGTGCATAGCTAAGTTCCCCATTCCTAAGGTTTGACCACAACTGTCTTATGTTTATTGGTGTGCTTATGTATTGTTCCGCTAGGATTACCGATTAGTTGCTAAATGTATGATTTTTTTGTAAATTATTCCATCATACAAAGAATTGAATTGTGGGTTTAGATTCAGCTAAGAGAACTTACTTGTTTAAATAAAACATTAATCCATGCGCAAACAAATGAGGATTCACCATTTGAATGTTTTCCACGATGCTGTTTTCTGCTATTTTCATTACATGCTTTACAAGTTTAGTTTACCTGCGAAACTTCGGCTTTTACCACAGTCTATGCATAAAAGCGCGCTTATTTTTTCACCGCATTTCCGAAAATGCTGTTCATGCAAACTGGCATATTTCCATAATTAAAGTGGCTTTTGAGCTTGAATGGGCATAAGGCTTGTCCCCGAGTCGCACATATTTTCCGACCCAAGTTCGAGTATCCGATCGAGGGAGACCTCTACAAACTCATTCACTTAGTAACCATTCTGGCGACTGGCGGACCAATGTAAAAATTGACTAACATAAAGGTCAGGAAGGCCATCAAATTTACTAGAACTGTTTCCTTTTTTTTGAAAAAAAAAACACGACTGACTCATTTGTGCTGAAGCGGGACCTTTCATGTTGGCATGGCGGAACCGGCATTGGGAGGGTTCTAGAGGCCCCAGCCGGACACACACACACACTGCCTCATGCACTAACACCAGTCAGCCCCTCATCTGCGGCCTTGAGTCAGATTTGACTGCGCCTCTTTGAGAAATTGGGGCTTAGTTTTCTCCTTTGTGTTTGTGCATCTCTCCAAGCCGTCACCCCTTGTCACTACTAGTCGGCGCGCCGAGACACGGTCTGCTCATGCACTTTGTGCTGCTTCCAGTGTCGCACACGGAAGTCGGGGTAAACGCGGGAAAATAACGGCTCAGTTGAACGCGCAACTGCACAAATGGCGCTGGCTGAAATTATGGAAAGTACAGACAATAATGTAAATTACAAACAAACAAACAACAGCTACGCCTATAATTATGCCGAAGTGCAAGTAAATTTAAATATATCGCTTAGATACAGAACGAAAAGTGTGGCTTTTTTTAAAAATTATTTACTTCAAACACACAACTTTGATTCTGATTTTAATTGACCGAAAAATCTGTATTTTGATATGAGTAAGCTAATTTGCACTTAATATCGGCTGTAATAAACACCCGGCTAAAACAAGCTTGAAGATTGTTTCATTTCAGGGTTTCAGAGAGCAGAATTAGAACACAGCGTAATCTATCTGTAAACGAACTCTAATTACTGCTACAATGATAAGTTAATGATACGGAAGTTTGTTTCACAATATACCAACAAATATTGAAAATGTAACATGGTCTCTTTCGGCTTTTAAACGTGGAACTGGAGTTTATTGTAGTTAGGTGGTACACATTGCACCCACAAAATTCCCTACCGTGTTACTTGCGACCGATTGGCTTGTTGACGAATCCACTGATCTCAAGCAGAATCATTAGTTGTGGTGAAATTAACGACCTGAAGTAAAGTGGGGTTATTTATTACCTTTCAAAGCAATTCAAGGAGAGAAAAAGGACGAGGGCGAACACGTTCCACCCCCACGAAGCTGCCCAAGGACACCGAGCAGAGCCTCGTCGACGCAGAGACCCACCGCGGGGCTCCAAAGGCGACCGCCGACGGGACCGCGTGACGGCAGTCCGCACATCAGGTAGGCTGGCACCCGCACACACCTGACACGTGACAACCATCACCGAGCTAATTTGGACGTCAGCTTTGGAGCGGTGTTAGGTGTTTATGTGAAAGGCCTTACTCGATGAATTTACTCGGTGTTTTGAGCTCCATGCTGCGCCGGCGACAACACCACGAAGATACGTAAGAGGTGCCTTGGGTTAGTTTATGTACATTATTCGTAGGCGACTGGGTGCGCACGTCCCCAAGGTCAACAGGTACGGCGGATGTGGGTTAACACTGACTGGTAAATAGATTGAGCGTGGAAGTGATGAAAAAAGACAGGTAAAGTGTTACCGTGGGTTAGAATTCGCCATTGGGCCTTCCTTGAGAAAAAGTTCAGAATGACAATTTTCATGGTGTTAGTTGCGCTAAGAATGCTGTACAAAGACTGAGGTTATGAAGTTAGGTGAGTATTAGAAAACTGCTACGGTCACAGCGTCTTGAAGGCCAAGGTATGCTTTTTTTGGCCCACAGGAACCATGCTACATGACATTAACTTCCTAAAATATGATTGATTACCCAGTTTGAAAGCATTTCACAAGAAGTAACCAATCATGGTCTCTCGCAGGCTGCCTCTAATTGTCGGCAAAAATTTTATAGTTTTCTGGCTTAGCGAATTGCATGCCCGACCATGGTCGTTTATGGAGTTTGGCTACCATAAAATGAAAGAGTGCGAACGGTGACTTGAACATGGGACGGCAGCCAATTCAAGAAATACCGCATGAAAATCGCTTGCACTAATTTCTGATCTCACACCAAAAGAGCAGTGGCATAATCTAGAAGCCCAAATTATACCTAGTAATTTGCATCTGCCTGCAGGGTGATTACTTTCAAATCCCGTCCGACTTTTTTCTGGTTAATAATTGTACGCCGACCATTCCTTTATGGGAGATCACTTTTTGTGGTTTGAGTCCAAGACAAATTAATACTAGCACCACACTCTGATGGATCATTCAGACGTATGGTAAATCCGTATCGGTTCTGTGACGAATTGGACCTTTTTGGAATTAGCGCACATCGCCTGCTCCCTGATTACAGGTGTTGTATGTGCCTGTCTACCGACTGTTCTAGGTCTGCCCAGCACCCGAGCCCAGACGTTGGAAATAGCGAGACAGCATTCTCGCGTCCCTCGAGGCCTCCAACGACTGTCGAATCTGGCCGCCGACATCAAGCAGACGGAGACGTCACCTGTGCGCTCAACCAAATTGCATCCTCCGACTGGGAGGACAAGGTGAACGGCCTCTTGAAGGTTTCCGATCTTGCTCTAAGGAATCCCAGTGTATTTTACAACAGTCCCGAAAACCAGTCCGGGGTAATCCAAGCCGTGTTAACGGAGAGCAAAAATCTCCGCTCACAAGTAATTTCCGAAGTTATTTCCTAAAAAGGTCTTCGACTTGCGTCTTCACAAATTACACACTGTTCTCCCAATCTGACTTTATAGCTAAACTTTATTGTTGTGGTGATAAATCACTAAAGACTATAACCACTTAGGTCCTATTGGAACTAATCGTTTTTTCCAGAGTAGTAATCATTTTAAGCTAAGTTGGTGTGGGATTCGCATGTTTTTTTAAGTAAACATTTTACTTCCAATCATTCTTTTGTCTTGACCACATGCTTAGCATTCGCTCGATTCATGTTTATTGCTCCGTTTTTACGTTCTGGCAGTTTTAGAACGCCTCCTATTTACACGTGGGTCATTAACAGCAGTGTGAATGCAGTTCAGTACGTTTGAAGGAACCCTTCAACGAACTTCACACCAAAGAATAACCTGAAATTTATGCATCCCTTTGTTAGCAGCCAGGAAATAATGAAGATAATAGAATTTCTCCAGCAATGCACTGTTGCACCAACGTTTCTGATCTATAAGGGCTGCAGCTACTCATTCTTGAGAAACCAAACTGAAATTCTCCCGGTTCTTCGGTTGTAAACAAGGCGAAATATTGATTAGTTTGTTGTGCGCACTAAATTAGCAAAGCCTGTTTCAAATCACGCCGATAGCCAACCCTATTATTGCACTCAATGTCACATAATGCGGATGTGTGGCTTACGGAAACGAGGTTATGGATTAGCCAGGCTTATTGCTTTGTTTGAGTCGTGCCTGTTGCTATGTGCTGGACAGCTCCGGAAAAAGCCCACTAGTGTCAGGCATAGTGCACTCATACTTCCTCTGAACTGCTGGATTCGTGTTGCTAACCTTAAACTCGGAAGAAGTATTAAGGCATTTCCAAAGGCCTGTCATACGCCCCAAGAAATTTAATTGACTGTTTTTACTTTTGTCGAAAGACAAATTGTCAAACGGAAATTAAAGGCTCTTTCCACTTCTGCCTAGATGTTTTCATTGTAGTCAGTAGTCGGCGTTTTTCTGAATCCTAGTGATGTAAAAAACTGCAGTAAACCACTCATTGGTGGAATTGAACCTGTTGGCAGACAAAGGGCTGCAATGTTCTGCCACACGCCCAGTTCTTTCATAAGCCGGTCGCTACCTGTTGGCATAGCAACATCAAGGCGCTCATTATTTGTACTCACACACACACACACACACGCACTCACACGCACTCACACAAGACGTGAAAACGCGTTATAATAAGTAGTGTTGTTCAGTAGCTTGGCAAAACGAACTTGGGACTAAGGCAATCCTTCAGAGGAAGTTTTTTTAGCACTAAAGGACTACTTTTACGCTCAGCATTAACGATAATTAAACAAGTTTTTTTGTCTTAAATGACTGAAATTCGCCATATTTACACATATTGGAGTGGGTTGCAGGACCGGACTCTAGGCACACAGGAACAACCTTTGGACCATCTAGAATATTTCAAGGAAGCTCGGAGTTCTCGTTTACCTGATCAAGCACACAGTCCTAAACTTGCCACTCGTGGTGTTTCTGTAGTCATCTGAGATTCCTTCGGATGTAACTTTGAGGCTTGATTGAACCAACTCAACCTCTGGACTTTTAATGACCCGCGGAGGAGTCAGCTATCTCTTAGGCAGGCGTTGTCTGGTTTGCGTACACTTGGGGAGCCAATTCCAAAGCCCTCAAGGAGTCAGGCCACTGCGGTGTTAACTGGGCAGCAAATAACTTGGCCTGTCTTCACTATTGCAATGCTTTAGCGACTTCATTAATAGGTCTAGTTAACAAAACAATTGTCGTCAAATTAGTCTTGTGATTACCTCTTAAGTATAAGATTTTCGCTCAAGGTAATATCGGTAAACGTCAAACTTTTTCGCAGGTCTCAAGGCAGGCTGTAAAGACCCTGTCTGACCTCTTCCGGGGGCTGGGCCGTCTGCTGGATCCCCACGTCGACCTCTGCGTTCGAATTCTCCTGGCGAAGGCGGGCGAGGCCTCGGCAGCCTTCCTGCGCGGTGAGGTCGCCATTGCGCTCAACGACCTGACCCGCTACGCCAATCCTAACAGGGCCCTCATTGCTTTGTTCCAGCATGGCTTAGGGTGAGTCGCGCCTTTCAGTTAAGGCCAGCTGCACTCCCCCCACATGCATCCAACCCGCTTTCAACGGTGCAAACACGAAAGACTACCGCACTAAAGTGAATGTTGAGGGACAGATTTGGTCTCTTCATACCTAACTTAAATTTATACCTATGCACCTCAGTGTATTCTTCGACGAATTCACATTTTGTACTTTCCTTGGACCCGCCCGTCGTAGTTTTTCGTTGCCCCAGGACCTCCCCACGCAGTGTGAATCATTGCTCTCAATTGAGTCGTGTTTTTTCCATGATCGGATATCGCGTCAGATGCACTTTAAGGTTCAGCTGAACCGATTCAAATGTATGTTATACAGCCACGGGTGTTTGGCGAATAGCACTCTCCTATATATTCTCCTTGAGAACATGTTAATTTGCTTGTTTTATAGTAAAAAAATGCCATAGTAATTTCAAGAAGTGCTAATCATTCACGGTATATTAATGCGACATTATTTTTGACTAAGTTTCGAACAGATCAACTGTTTCCAGTATGATTAAGTTAATGGTATGGGGCATCAACTTGGACTGATATTACGATTTGTACTGACACTATTTAAGTAGGATGTTTGTGGTTGGTTTAGGCATAAGAACGCAGCCGTCAGACGTCAATGTGCTATTCAGGCCAGTTACATAATTGAGAGCCTAGGACCCAGTCGCGTCATCCAGGCGTCGAGTGCTCGAGGCACACTTTCCTCATGGGGATCGACAAGTGCGGTGGGCGGGGGTGGTAGCGGCACGACCGCCGTCCTCTCCAGTGCCTCCTCAATGGCGATCACGGAGCGAGTTATCGTCGCCTTGGGCAAATTCCTACTTGACAGCAATCAAGAAACACGGTACGTCGTTCCAACTCCCTGTGACACTCTCCTCTCTGCGATTTCGTCCTTCCCTTCTACTCTGATCTTTCGCTTTCATCTATTCTCTCTTCCTACACGTCTCCCGTTCAAATGGTGTAGTTAGGTCGCACTCCAAAACACTACTTCAGTATGCCGCGTTATAATGATGTAGAATGAAAGTGACGAAAGCAGGCCTGTGACGTCAAGGAGCATCCCAAGGGTCCAGTGTGGTTAAACAGAAAACGCGCCTGTGACATTTATGTAAAACTGCGAGGCTTATCTTTGATCCTAGTGACATTTTGGTGTATGCATTGTGTGTGAGACGATGCGCTAAGGCAGAACAAGGGTGATTCCACCTGTAATGTAACTAAGCACTTAAGCTTACAACGTCTGTCTGGTTGATAATTTCTCCATTTAGTCTGGATCATAAAATTCGTCATTCTCTTCGACTACAGTATAGTGGTCGGACTCCAGTAAGGTGTTCCAAACATCTGTTTACCGGTTGGTCAGCGTGCGTTCTGTGAGGGCATCCCTAATGAGAGTCATTTCTTCATAGCCCGTTGATTGTAGAACATGGGGTCAGCGACTTGAAAATAGAGCGTCCATCCCTGCGAATATTTCAATATCCAATTGCTCAAATGCTTCGCACTAACATGTCCCTCCCAAAAGTCATTTACGCACAACTGAGTAGCGATAAGCAACGTTATAAAACCACATTTTCTCTATCTCCATTGTTGTGGAACACCTGAGGACACGTAAACCCCATGACTCAGGTGTTTTTTGCATTTCTAGGTATTACGGCCGCCGAATCCTGTCTACTTTACAAAAAAGCCCCGACTTTGAAGGCGCCGTGACCCGCTACCTTTCAGGGCAGTCGCTAAGAGCGGTGCGTGAAGCCACTGAGTACCTCCACACCAAGGTTAGAGTTAGCGCAAAGGTCGTTTTATTTATTTGTTTATTGAAGCAAAGCCAACCAGATTTAAGACTACCGCTTGCGCAATTATGAAACGGGGTAATGTAGTACGATCCGGCATTTACAGCACACCGCACCATGATCGCCTCTGTAAAGTGGTTAAGTAGTTCCCTGAGCAAAATTTACACTACTCTGGAAGCTAGGGTAGAGAGAGTAAAAAAATCTCATTAAATTATCATCTGCAACTATCATGACCAGAAGTCTGACTCGGACAATGTTGACGCATTTTCAATTCTGGAAAGAGCAATAAGACCACGGTCAAGTCCACTGTGTTGAGGCCACTTTGACCCACTGAATCAAATAAGAGCACCTATTTACCATTCTTCAAGTGCAATCTGGCTTTGATAGGTTGAAATGTACAAACCATTTGGTCTATTTTCTAAAACATCCAGAAATGTTGGTTTGTTTTTGACAAATGCCGCTTTAATGAAGCCTGAGAGCGCAAATGAGGAGACTACAACACTGGTCCGTGAGAGAAAATGTCTTGTTGTTCTACTTATATTACGGACTTTGTCTCATGCGCAACTTTCTAGGCACATTTTTGTTATAAGATTGCGTTTGCTGAGTTGAATGACGGACACCGCGACCACAGAAAAACCACCCATGACAACACTAAACGCGAAACCCCGAAAATTTGATCACATCCTTCGGGAGCTTTCAAGTACAAGGTCGACTTAAAATGCTTGTGTCTTCTAGAAGCGCAGGGACTACCATGACTGAAACTTGTGGAGTTGTGTAGTACCACCAGAATTCTTCAATCGCACTCGTTCAGAGTTAGAATTTGAAACCACAGTCCACTTCTGCGTCATTATCTTGCATAACAGCAAACGCCAAGGGGATATTTCTTTTTCGTTTTAGGGTCTTGGAGAACCCCCAGTCGTGATGGCGTCCGCCAGCTGCCCACGCACAAGCAACAGCGAGCGGGCGGCGAATTCGTTGCAGAACCGAGGCTGCAGTGCCGGGAGCCTCGGCGCAGGTGGAAGTGTCTTATGAGACTCGCACTATTTTATAAAATAAGGGAAACATTTGCACAAACCGTCTTCCTATTAGATTCCGTCCCAGCAGATTTGGACCTTTCCCTTCCCCCTCCCATTGCTGATAGAGTTTAAGCTGACTTTGGATCCTTATCTTTAAATTTACTTTTTGACTCTGTCGTCTGGTCAACATGTGTCTCCGCCTCCGCATTCTCTTTGACTGGACTCTATTTCAGGACAAAAACAATCATTTGCTATCACCTCCTTACTAAATTACACTTGTTACACGGGTATAACGTGTCAGTGGAAATCTGGCATCTGCGACTGATAAAGACTAGCAATATGTGGCTGTAAGCGACCACTAGCGGTGTGTGTGGAACGGTAAACACGTGGCCTTGTTTCATTTTAGTACATGTAATGAAGTTAAACGGATCTACACGCAAGAGCATCCTCAACAGTCAGACGTATTCAACCTAATATGCAAGCCAACAACAATAAATATCAAAAATATAAAATTCAAATATATACACAATCGAAACGAACTCTAAGTAGGGGCCCAGAAGTTTTGACTCATGTCCATGACTTCTAGAGGCCACGCCAGTTCGGCGTACACGGAGGAAGGGGTGCGCTGTCCTGTGGCGTCGTCGTCTTTACAAAAGCACTTGTCTGCCTGAGAGAGCGACATAACGGACCGAGCAGAGATTTGCCAGGACACTATTGAAGGGGTCAAATCACCACAGGGACCTGGTGTAGTGCCGGAAACCCGCTCTACCTCACCGACAACTGAGACGTAGGACCCGGGCGTCGGCGGTTGTGTGTCTGGTTGGATGGTTACCAAGACAGACCCCGTGGCATCGTCCAACAAGAATCTCAAGATCGAAGCTTCTGAAGCAGTGCCAAGAACGCGCCCTTGGAGCCAGACTAACGAGAAAAGGAGTTGACGTCCTGGAGTGAACGGGACACTGTGAATTGAATTTCCTTCCTTTGAGGTAACCGCTTCATACCGGAGGTCTTTAAGCTGACCAATAAGCAGTTTGCGCATGATGGGCGGCGCCTCTTTGGACATCTGTCAGGACCTTGACAGAAAATGGAAAATAATTTCAGTTACCTAGACATTTGAAACTTCTCGATTCACGTATTTCGATCAGACAGTGTGTGCCTCAAGTCTTTGAATACTAGACTACATTTCAACTAAAGAGGTCAAATGACGAATGCTGAAGGAATCATCTAAAAGTTTTGAATATCAAGTTTAGCCTACTCCAATGGTATCCAATGCGAACTAGACTATTCACCTGCCTTTTGCGCAGAAAATGCTCAGTAATAAGTGGTTTGGTCGTTAGACATTGCCCAGCGGAACGGAATAAATTTGCCGCAGAGTAAAGTTCCGGTGCTTTTGTGGGAGCACCACGGGAAGTAAACCTCAGGACGCATGGCATTATTTCAGCCTTACCAAGAAATACGAGTCGACATTAATTGTATGCTTACACTGAGTCCATGAAGATTCCCAGAACCCTATCTTATGAGAATGTCAATTGGATAAATACACTAGATGGATGAAGAATACACTCTTGATAAAGAAAGTGTCTGTAAGTAAGACTGCTAGCTTTTGTAAGTCATTGCTCATTCGGTTAAAACGGGTATTCAAATGAAAAATTTAGTTTACGGGTGGTTAGCACAACATTGATTGATACCACGGGCTAAAAATAAAAGTTGCTGAGCAATACAATTCAGTCCCTGCGGAAAAATAATAGCAGCATCGTGGGCAGCTTCGTCACACAACAGATTTGGTAGGTCCACGCACGAGGTGGAACGTGATTGGGCCAGTCAATACTTGAGCACTGAATATTCAAATTAATGGTACAACGATTTGCCCTTCTAGCCACAGACACTTAAATTTGATGAACTAATCAAACCAAGCGTGAACCGTAGTTGGTTATTTACTGAAGCGGACATCTTTCTAACAAGTGAAACGCGGTGGGATCAGAGGAGCACTTTACCTACCAAACCCACTCGAAAAAATGAATCTTTGGCTGAGAGCCAAGAGTAGTAGGCAGTAAGATCCTTCCCGTAACGGCGGAAAGCAGACGTTCAACGTAGCAACAGGCGTTGTTATCATGTAAGAAACAGTGGGGGGTGTCTGAGAACACAAGGACATCTGGAATGAATTGCAAGACAGCTTCTCCGATTTGGGTTCGTGAACCACCAGCAATTCAATACACACGGACAAACCTTTCTAATACCAGATTATTAGACGGCATGGAATTTTAAAAAAAGCCCTAGCTTATGGCGTCGCATTCTGCATTCGGGACGTTGATGGTACTGATGGCTCCGATGAAGAAAACCACAGTGATCAAGACCATGAAAATCTTCTCGAGGAGGCATCAAGACAAGTAAAGCCACTCACCAGTGGCCGATAACACGAAATTTGTTTGCAGGAGGAATACCCTGGGGTGAGTGCGGAACCGCGTACCATTCCACACGAGGTCAAAACAGAGAAGAACGTTTCTTAAAGTAACAGTCATCCCCAAAGCACAACAGATCTTGCAATAGACAAAGGAACAAACCTCCATATAATGAGAGTCTGTTAGTGTAAAGGCACCAGCCAGACTACCTAGTCAAATTGTTCAGCAAGTAATTCATGGTTAAACGTTATTATCCCTACCCATTTTATATGCATAGTACACGCCAGTCATAACACACTTCAACGACGACTAAGCGATACTTTGGTGGGTGCATTTTTACCACAGAGAACGAGAAGACTAGAGGCGAAGAAGACTTGACCGTTTATTAGACAGACACAAATGTGTAAGAGTGCATGCAAGTTCATTGGTAAGTATAAGTCATAGACATGAATAGAAGAGGAGGAAGTTGGCGCCCCAATGACCGGACGGAAGGCTGAATTACAAAGTGTTTGGTATGATTTGATAATCCGATGTGTTGCGAAGATGACTTCGATGTGTACCTCTCCGCCAAACAGGAACCGTGAGGCCTACAGAAATACCTCTGGGGTTACACCACCATTTCCATAAGTCAGACTTTATCTCACCGAAGATACCTAACGTATTGGTACTACTGCAGTTACAGAAGCTTAGACTGTAATTCCGCACTAAAATTCATTGAGCAGTCACTACTAGATAAATTTGTAAACACAAATTGTGAGATAAACCCAAACCCTATCCAGTTGTTCATCCCAAGAGCAAGGTACCAGACCACAATTGTTCAACCATAACTCTCACTATCGAACTGCCAGTTAATTTAGTGACATGTATTTCTGTCATACATTAAATAGCACGTACTTGCAAGCCACGAATATCACAACCAATTAAGCAGTAAAATTAACTAAAAAAGATGAGCGCTCACTCCTGACAGCAACATAAATGAACTTATTTCGCACATGGTAAGAATTAAACATATATTAATTTATGACTTTTTGAGCCAGCAGTTACTGCAAGCAAACTAGTCAAGTGAATTTACTTAGTTGGTGTCCTCAAAATCAAAAGAGAATTCTAGCTGACGTTAGAGAAACCTCAAAAAAACAGAACCAAAAACATTTCTCAATCATAAAACCCGAAAATTGTTGGCAGAAATGAAAGTAAGTAAACAAAGATCCACTTTGCGCACGAATTTTAGAATGGTAAGTTATTTTATATTATCAAGCGAAAGTCAAAAACGAAGCAGGCCAAGCTGAACATTCAGGCACCTTACAGATAGATCTAAGGTTTTGGCGAGTTAGACAGGCCACTGTGGAATGTGCAAAGAAAACTTAATAGTAGCTAACAAAATTTAAGAAAATTACGTACGGAAATGTAGCATAAACTTTTCACGTAGGTGGTTCAGCAGGAAGAGTAGGAAGAATATTTGACACAAACACAAGTATACCCTCAAATATCAAATAAGGCTCTGGAGTTGATGGTTGATTAAAAATTTATTACAAAATTATGGGAAAAATTGCAATATTTTTTACAACGTACCCCCAATTATTAAAAAAACATTCTCAAAATACTATTTGTAATACCTTTTAGTGAAACCTCTCAAATCCCTTTCCAACAGATCGTTTGTAAAATCAGTAAAAATGTGTCCTTTCTAGTGATATTAAACGTCAGAGGGTAAGTGTCAAAGTTGTCATGTCTGGTAGACCAAAATAAAGCTTGGATCGTTTTAACAAGGCAGATGTGTAGCATTCATTTTACATGATCTAAAGTTTATACATGACGATTTTTATGAAAAATAAAAACCACACGTTATTAAGTAACACAAAATTGCATGCGTTATATTTTAAATAATATTATCGAACGGAGGGCAGGACTTAATTTTTTTAAGGAGGAAACTGCTTTGTTTCACTTCAAAGAAATAATGTTGAAATTTTGTCGGTTTCTGTTCAGCCATATATTTGCCATTAAAAACAATTTAGCAGAGAGCTAAATTGATGAAACTTATAATATATGGTGGGTTCCAGAAATACAATAGGTTCTAAAGAATTTTTCTCTTTGGCGCCCATCCTTGTTGCGGAATCTGTTAAGCGATTTGTGATTCAGTGTTTTCTTTTTGGAAAAGATATTTTTTGATACACAGCATTTTAACGCTTTGTTTAGATTTCAATATTGAATTTAAATGACGCTCAAGGTACATCTTTGCACTTTTAGTTAAGCAGAACCTCGTAAACAAAGTACTTCACAATACCCACATAAGACTCCAAACAGCACCTACATTTGATGCGGCAATCCAAATCCTGATATAGATTCTGCCCATCCACATTCATTCCTTATGCCTCTTTCACCTAAAAGCTGTTTTACACAAATAGTTTTCATGTTCAGTCGTGAGATGATTGGAAAATAACTTTTTTACTTACGGACGAGGAAGGAAACCCCTATTTAAGCACGATTTGGTTCATTCATTCTGCCAATAATGCTGATTCTATTCACCGTGTTTCGCAGTGCTTTAATCAAATTTCCCTTTGACTTTTGGAGTATTTAATGTTGCGTTTTATACTATATAAAACAACACAAAGTGACATAACAGCAGTGAAAGTCTTCGTTTTACTTTTCAGAAATGAAACTAGAAGTGATACAAAGCTACGAGGCATTTAAATTATTAACAATTAGCAGAAGTTTACTGAAAGAAGCATAAGCACAGCAAAAGTGCATGCTTTTGCCAGGAATGAAAGTCGGGTAGTACTTGTTGAAATAGCGAATATGAATGCACCATTTTATGACTTATTAAAGTTACTGAATTAAACAAACTATTTTATTTGTGTTACAGGTTTTACAGAAAATAATGCATGAGCTCTAATTTCCGTACTTTTAGTTCTAATATATCAGGCCTTTTTTCTTATTTTTTTAGAATGAAATGTACTGTAGCATTAGTAAGCTTCTTTTCAGCCAAGATCTTTGACTTCGAAAACGATGTTACGGGTAAAGTGATAGCTGTATGATTTAATTGATTTGTAAAACTTGGTGGTGAATGTCGTTTGGTAAGTACGATTGGAGAAAAATCTAGGAAAATATAATTAAAAAGCTAGGAAAATTGACCAAAAACTGCTTACTGGGTCATCAGTCGGATTAGATGGGAATTCTTGGAATTCTTTTTTGAGAATTTAAGTCGGCATGCGAATCAATTTTTTTATTTTTTTGAGATAAATCTTTTTGCTCGAAAGTCGTAAATTTTGAAAGTATTCTTGTAGAAAATAAAATGAATGTCCTTTGCAATTTTGTGGCTATTTACGGTATATTTGCCTTTTAAGGTTTAGATTACATGTTAACTTTTTTCTCAGCTCGTAAGGTTTTGTGACAAGCCATGTTGTGAAGATAGAAAGTATGATTAATTTGAGCTTATAGAAGTACAAGTAAGGAGCGTGTGAAATAAAATCACATATTAACAGCTATGAGTTATTACATTATAGTTGAGATGGAACTGCAAGCCAGGACAAATGGGACCCAATGGATACATTGTAGTTGATCGTTGGGCTTATGAAGTGGAATCAACCTTTTGGAACATCAGATTAGACAATTGGAAAGAGGTTCCTTGGCATAGAATTAACTTAATTCGTTTAGAAGCAATGCATTGTAAACCATTCAGGAATCTTAATGAGGAAATTTTATTGTTTTACTGTGCATGGTTAAGACATTTTTGGTCATAAATTTGTCTCTTGTAATAGTTTCATAAATTACATAAACTGATTTCTGTCGAGTTCAGCAGGCTGTGATGACGAATAAAAATTGTCTCATTCATAGTTTGCTTTATTTTAAAAAAAATTGTGAGCAGACCTTACTTTGGCACCAATCTGGTAAATGTAATGTAATCAGCTGCTCACACGTGCTTTCAAAATAATACAGACCTAACTGACAAATGTAAAAACAAAAGTGAGAAACATTTGAATTTTGCCTTCCGATGACCACGGAATGCGCGAAGTGGCATTTCGAAATGTTAATATAGAATCGCAAAGTTTCCGTTCAAACAAATACTCCAAATTAAACTCAACATAAATGAAATTAACAAATCTTACGAGGAAAATCTAATGAAGGAGTTCCACGTTTAAGTTTTTCTTCTAGAAATTAACTTTTTTAGTCACAGAACGTGGATGATTTCTTCTGTATAGTTAATAAGCCAGTTAATTTCATTTAAACTGGTTTAATCTTGATTTTGCGTACCACAGAAACACATCAGAGTTTGATGGTACAAAGGCTAATAATGATATGAAGTTGTGAAGTTATCCAAACTCACGGCGAAAGTAAAAGCGATGCAATTTATGGATTTAATTTACTCAATTAAAGACGTGATAAGTGAATTTATGCGAACGAAACAGATGGATTATTGTGGGATCACATTTAGCATTTTAGAAATAGTCCGAAGGTAATTTACTTTGAAGGTTGTCTGATCTCCGTACATTGAGATAAAGCACAGGAATTCGCGAGAACCGAAAAGACAATTGGTACTTGAATTTTGTTTCCTGAAATGCTCGCCTTGTGTGTTTACGCAGTCCATCAGATTGATCGTGCAATTTGGGTAAGTATGACCCGTGAAACTAACGTGTTCTCTGGTTAGGTGATAATCATTTTACGAGAAAATGACTGCTGACCAACATTGTACACGGGCACTTACCAATTTTGCGTTTATATACTAGGCCTCCTTGCAAATTAGCCTCACCGCAATGAATTCAGTTAGCGTTGATGGGTTTTCCACAAGCGAAACCCGCAAATGAATAGGAGTCAGCTGAAACAAACTTTTTGGTCAGTGCATATCCTTTTTATAGGTAGGGATTTCTTAAATGTGGATTTTTACAAATAATCACTTCAAAATATGCAAACGTGAGATTTTAGTGTGAACAACTAATAGTGATCGTGCATTAAACCCGACGCCGGAAGCATGATAATCTGTCCTAACGTTATTCTGAAATCAAAATAGTTCATCTAAGAGATCAACGAAAAACCCCTTTTAAATTGCCTAGTATCTAAAATAAACTAGGTAGGCGTTTACGATGCGAGACTAGTCTTCATCAAACAAAACCGGCGACGATAGTTCTTTTCCGACAGCGTTTGCATGTACCTTTCAAGTCTTTGTCGAGGGCATTGCAGCTAATTTATCCAATTAGAAGAACGACAACTAAGTCTAGGCGTTATTGCATACTGTGGGTGCACATTTAACACATCCAAGTGAAATTTAGAGAAATAGCTTGTTATAAGGTTCACGAAAAAGGGTGTTTAATGGTGAATCTTTTCAAGTCGACGCGTACTCACTAAGGTGGGCTGTATGTCACATCAATCTATCCGATTCCAATGATATTTAGTCGAATAGTGGGGCAAGAGTGGACGCAGTGCTTGGGTACGCATCAATTTGATTGGTTGTGGCAACTATAAATTGGAGAACATGTGTGCGTTCGATATATCAACCGTAAAAGTGGAGGTGAATCAACAATTTAACGACGAGGGACTGAAAGCCCACAATTAGTGAGTTTTATTTTCTATTTGACAAGAAATGTATTACAAATCTCACCACGCTTGAACACAAAATCTCAACATGTCCCACTTCTAACTACAAGGTTTTCACGAATAAATTTTTGGGACTTCATCAATTGCAATTCTGATTTATGGTTTAGCAGAATTAGTATTAAAAGTATCTGATATATACATGGCTTTTAGTGTTCCTTTCACTAGTTCTAGTAGTTCCAAAAATTTTCCTTACTAATCTAGATAATATGGATTACTAAAACTATTGCGACACAATGGACATTTCTCTTATTCACTGAAAATTACAAGAATCGGCTTGAGGGTAGTTACAGTAGACCCTAGCTGCCTGAATAGTTGTCTAGTAAAGGTACCACTGTCAGTGTATCTCAGGGTACTGTTGTAATGTTGCTCGAGGCCAATTTAGAAAAACATTGAGACAAATAATTGCAAATTATCTGGCGTTTTCCGACTCGCTCAACCCACAAAATGCGTCCCTTCAAGTTGTCTTCTCGAGTTGTGGCGAAATGACAAGATGCTTCATTTGTTTACTTTTAGCGTTACACCTTTATTCCTGCTTAGCTGCGCCTTACGGTTAGATGGCTGATACCTGTAATTTGGTGTTCTGTTCAAATTTACGTCAGCGCCTATCTTTGACATTCGGGACTGATGATTTACCTTGCGTTTGTTTCATTCTTTTACCTTCAACATATGACGTTAAGAATGTAGTAGTGAAGGCCTTCGATGTGTATGCTTATTTCTGTGCCAACAGTTGACTTTTGTGTTAAAACACACTTATGACTTTGCTCAAGAACAAAGGTGCCTCAAGCAAAACTTGTGTCAGCCAAACCACTAAATATGTAGGAATTGTTATAAAATGTGCATTACTTTGTGGCCATTAGCGGCGACTAATCAGTGGTATTTTCAGTTTCATTTTTGCGTCCTTCAAACCTACTTTAAGCCTAAAACTGTAATTCTGTGTGAGACTGTCAAAAATCCAGTGAGCAATCCGCTAGCACCAGGCATTCTGCGCGAAACCGTTTTTAGTATAAATTTAACAAAGATAACGGACATTTATTATGACCGAATGCCAAATATTTACAATATGCTGAAGCGCGTCAATGTAGGATTTGCTTCGACTCAGTGTGATGAATGCCGGTGAGCAGTCGATTCTTATCGTGGACACTGAGAAAGTGTAAATTTAAAATTAGGGATTGTTACACAATAAATTATTACCTAATCAGACAATGGGTTTCAGTCATTATATCTTCTAAAATGAACTATTTTGTCGATATGTTATTTTCATTTCCAGTTTGAGGTCGCTTCATGGGTGTCCTCCTCTCACTTTCGCTTTGGACCTCGCCGTATCGGCACAGGTCTATGCTGAGAAACTGGCTGGTTTGGGGACGATTCGGCACAGTGGGTACAGTGATGTTGGCGAGAACTTGGCTTTAAGTCTGGGGCCTAGTCAAAGTACTGATTTCTCCGGTATTTATATTCCCTAGCTTGCGTTTGGGTCTCCTAGCAACTGGCCCGTTTACTTCGTGGTTTTATTTGATATTTAGGTGTTATGGTTACGCTTTTGTGGTACAATGAGATATCAGATTATGAATTTACGGGTGTGGACCAAATTTCATGCGGTAACTTATCCTTCTGCTCTAACTTTATGTATAAACCAACTTACCTTTCCAACGCGGTACCTGTTAAGGCCGCATCAGCACAAACGTAAACGTCTACAAAGATCGCTTAACAATCATCTCTATTGACTATTTCACGTGAATCATTTACAATGCATTACAAAAATTCCCAACTCATTCCCTATGTTTTAAGTATATTTTATGTAATCTGCTAAATCTCACAGATGAAACCTAAAATTCTTAAAGCTATTTGCATGAAAAATGGTCTTTCGAAATACATTTTCGTGAGTAACTAATAAGTATTTTGTCCAAACAAATTTCTTAGGGCATTTCTCGCAAGTAGTTTGGAAAGAGACAAAGTCGATTGGCATGGGACTTGCAAGGACCGAGGATGGACAGGTGATAGTGGCTGTGGCGCATTACAGACCCCCCGGAAATGTCTCAGGCCAGTGGGCAGCTAACGTGCCTTATCCGGTGCAAGGAACAGCCCATTCACCCACTGCGGAGGAACTGTGTACGTTTACGGTGGTGGGATGCACTCATGGGTTTGGGCATATAATTCATCGAGAGGGATTTCACCATATTTCCTGCTGGACATTTTAGCATGCAATAGATTTTAGACTAGGCATTCTGTCGAATTAATTGAGAATTTTGTCCAATGGGGTTATCCACGTGGGAGGAAAATGAAAGCCACGTCTAGGTAGAAGATACGCATCCTTTTCGCGTGATGCATTTGGAAAGCCAATGCATACATTAATTGAACTTTACCACTGAAATTGCCGTAGAAGAAATAGTCAGCTAATGAGGAATAACTTCTGTGTTCTGACTTGTTTCTTAAGTGAAATTAATGGCCCCACGAACTTTGGCACGTTCCGTCCAATAGTTTAATAACAAATTGAAATGAAGTTACAGCAGAGGTGACGTTTGAACTTCGCAAATGCTTACTACTGATCGTTTGTTAGTTTGATAAATGCACCTATGTACTACTATCAATGAGTATTACTCTATTAGTGTATTTACTGTCATGTCCAGCCAACTGGGCGAGAAAGCGCTTCTTAGGACTTGACTTGTTTTAATAAAACAAATTGCAGCATTTCGTTTACATAGTTGGTACATATCGTGTGATTTCGGAGTTTTGTAGCCGATTGTTAAATGAAATTTAACACTGCACATTCATGTAACTTCACGATGTCTACTAATCAGGAGTTTACTCTCCATCGACTTCTATGACTGTCTCCAAGATTTTAAATTCTTTTTTTTGGGAAAACTGTGTGGTTTCTCTTCAGAGAAAGTTGTTAGGTAGTTGTGACGATTTTCACAGAATCGTATATTATCAGTAAGGCAGGTGCCGAAGAACTTGGCATTTTGGCGGTTTGCGTTGCTGCTATACTTGTTAAGAGACATGTGGTCTGCATTTTTCGCGGTGAAAGGTGCTGTCTTCTCAATTGCCTGGATTTAAGCACTGAGTTGAAGCGCTGCACACGGTTTGTCTGCAGTTTTGTTTGGCAGAATCTCGTAAACAAATTACTCCTTTGCATCACCCACACCAGAAAACGAACACCAATTTCGGTCCCATACTTTTTGTTCCTTTTGCCCGAAGGCCGTCTTATTCACACCATTTCCATATTCAGTTCTGAGTTGATTGAAAAAGATTCGTTTTGTTGATAGGTAAGGGGAAGAAGTAACCGTGGAACTAAGGCTAGGTTTGTTCAGTTCACTCAAATCATGCTGGACTCATATAATAAGTTTTACAATGCTTCGATCACTTCACTATTTGACTGTTGTGAGGAATTCTTTTGCAGTTCCAACTCTTCATTTTAAACAAATTTAAAGTGACATGACGTAAATGCAAGCTTTCATTTCCTTTCATAGAACTTTGCTCTCAACGAAAGACAATTTAAATCAAAATTTATTGGACAGGAAATTAATTTATGAGGCCTTAAGGGGACTAATAATTGATAAAATTTTACCGACAGACGTACAAGCACAGTGAAAAGTTCATGCTCATGCCAGAAATGCCAATAGGGTAGTAAGTGTTGCAATCATCCCATATATAGAAACACCATTCAATGAGTTATCAAAGGCACACCCACATAGTGGTCAGTTTCAAGTATAATGACACAGGAGTTCACATTCCTGTGTGCGTTCGGTCAATCTTTTCAGTAATAAAATTCCCGTTATTTTTGCACTATAGATTTTATTGGGCACATGACGTTGACATTTGCCTATGAGGACGGTCCAATCAACACAATTATTGGCTAATTTTTCCATATTGATGACCAACGGTACAAATAAGTCCGGCAAAATGGACAAAATTTGTCGAAATTTACATGTAGTTTTTGCCATTAGCTGACCTGTTGGATAAATTAAATGCAGGCGACTTAACCGGTATGGTGGACCTGTCGTTAAGACGACTAGCTGCTTGGAATATTCACGAGGGCGTTTCGACATGCTGATGCGATCAAGCATAGCAACGTGAACTTGTGATCGCTTAATCAGGTGTAGTTCATTGTGGCGTTTGTCTATGGGAACTTGGTTCACCCATCGTTAAACCATTCTCTGCACCAAGTTCTTAACTGTTTCGTTAACTTTAGTGATTATTGACTACCTCTTAAGCGACAGGTCTATTGACAGACTGGTTTGTTTCTTACTTTCCAGTTGTCTCGGCAAACTGTTTCCGCCATTTCGTTGTTTTTGAACGCTTAATGTCCATTCTTGACTTATTTTTATAGCCCACATAACATTTAAAATGCAACAAAAAATGCTTTCTAATTCCAGTAAATATTGAAACAGTAATAATATTTTTTTTCAGAAATCAAAATTTAAATTAATTTCCTATTGCTTTCTGTTTAACTTTATGAAACTTGTTTTAGCCTTTTTTAAATCAAAAAATGGTGTTAAAAATCCTGACATTTTTTGTTTTGTTCTGACATTATATTTTACCACAAGCCATCGCTGTCGCTGTGAAAAAACTATCCAAAGCTATGGCGGATGATCTGCGTGTGAAAATTCCAGCCACTGCGAAAAATGTATGCACTTCAAAGCCTGTTTTTAATGTACTTTACTTTATTGGGTACTCAGCGAAGTTGTTTTGACTCCAGAGTGATGCGAGCGATTTCACTGTAAAACGCCCATCTCTGCAATTCAACGGTACCGCAAAGGTTGACGCTGAAGTATCAGACAAGTCTCAATGTAGGTTAACACTCTCAACCGCAATTATTATTATTATTATAATTACCTCTGCTTGATTTTAAAGTCACTTCAAAAATATGACCAAGGAAGTAAGTTAAAAATGAGCACACGCGTACACCTATCATTGGTCGGAGAATGCGGTGTCAGCTCCAAAAGTGATCGTTAAAAGTGGTCTCCGTTTCACCAACCGCATTCTCGTTTTTTAGCTCTTAATGGTTTGTTTCATGAAAACATTTGTAATGACATTTTTGTGGAACCCTCCAACAAGACCATTCAGTTAGAAAATATTTAAGGTGAAAAAGCTTGTTGTAGCATCGCCACCACTGCTTGTGACAAACTTTCATGCCTGTATTTTGAAGTTGCCTCACGTTTGTCCATTCTGATAAATTTGACGGTGGGCGACTGCCAGGCCAGAATTCGGCTTTATTTTAGTAAGTTATGCTACAGTCTTCTAAGTCCTTAAAAGAGTTTGTTTGAAGGATAAATCAAGTCAAGTGTTAGTTCAGACATGTATGAGCTGCGTAATTGGCTTCTCATTCCAGATAACACTCACACGAAAGCACAAAATCACTTCAGACACCTGATTGCAAAGTCATTGTGATTGTGAAGGTCACTGTAGCGCTCTTTTGAAGGTATGAATTTACCTGCTCTGCTGCAGCCCGGAAGAACATGTCAAAACATAAAAGAGGGGATAATTCTTCCACAACCTAAACGTAAGTTTCCGTCCCAAAGGCGACAAATGCTTTGAAAAAAAATCTTGTAAAACTCACATGCATTAACAAAATGTTTCTAAAGCTACACTCGACCTGCTAAAATGTCCTCGAATGATAACAAGAGCGCGTAGGCCAGTGTGACTGCTATACCTCACATTTTTATTAGTGATTCTCCCCCAATCATAGATGGATACATAGAGAATGTCCCCACCTCTGTTTGTCAGTCCTAAATTTCCATCGCCACTAATTCTATTTTCGGTTTGCGTAAGGCTAAATTAATCTAGCAGTGGGGGCGCCTAATTATATATGATCACGGGTCTTTAGCATATAATTGGCAAATGTGAGAAGCATAGTTGTGAACAAATAACGTGAGAACGTCTCGTTTTAGCGAGTTTCTCCTCCACACAGCACATCCAGCAGAATCTTGAGTTGGATACCAGCAATACTAAATTTGTGTCTGTGAGTTAATTAAAACACCCATTTTCTACTTGGTTTCCTTGAAAAGCGCTCGGCCGTTTTCAATTAGTTAATTATTTTGCCTTGAGATTGATGACGCTTTCCTGTTTGCAATGGACGTTTTTATGGAAATAAATTATCGCCGGCGGAGATGTGGTTTGCCTGTCTTTCTACTTAACCAAGTGAGTAGAGGCGTTTTTTGGTAATCCATCGTATCTTTTTTGATCCCTTCCCAACCATCTTGTTTAGCAACTGGATGAAGTGGCGAAGGAACTAGCAAGAGAGTTAAAGTGTGGCTTAATCAAGAAAATTCAGCCAGGGTACGTATTTGGCAAACCTGTTCGACACTACTCGGAGTGTTCCCGTCTCCTCGATAAGAACGGTAATCTACGAAAGATTGACCGTTTTTGGAAAGTACCTCGAAGCAATTTATGAGACATTTATTTTGCAACATTTCAGCTACCAACTTCGTTTGGAGATGCTGCTTAAAAGGTCAACGCTCAGAAGGTAAGAACTGTTTTTATTTACCACTTAAAACTGTTTCCGGAGAAATTAAACAGAGGTTATTGGTCCTCTCACCATGGCAAACGAGACATTTTATTATTCGAAACTGACACTGCTGGGACTTCAGTATCCTGCATTGGGACAACCCTCTATTATGTTCCAAATTACAATCGTGTTTCGAAGCTGAAAAATCAGACTTTGCTTTACGATCGTCAATCCGCGTAACTCGTACGTGCTCGATGATTATCTGTTGGGCAGTGACACCGCAAGCCAAACATTCTTTTGAGTGTACTACACAGAGAGATTAGCAATACTCATGGGGCCATGGCACGTGTGACGGCACCGTAGTAGACTAAAATGATGTTTTAATGACACCGGGCGTTGCGGTTATTTTCTGCGCCGGTGTTTTGCTTGAAGTTGCTTCAAAGCACACGCAGCCGCAGGCGTTTCGCGAGCGGTAGGTCACGTTGGATGGAGGCACCCGGCACCACGAGAGCACGTCGCGTGCACCACCGCTGTTGCACCACATTTGCACACATCGAAAATAGCACCACCCGCGCACCACGCAGCACCTCATTTCGAGCAGTCAGTGCTCTGCATCACACCCACACAGAGAAGTCTCTCAACCGATATACGTTTTTTTTTCGCGTGCTATTACAACCCAATATGGGTCTCAACTTGATTTTAGTCAACTTTCGTGAGTTCCTAGCAAAGCAACTAATCTACTGACATTTTAGCCTTGTCTCCTGAGTACCAACGCGTGGGCATCGGATGCGAGTTTGACAGACTTTTCAGACCATCATCTGTTGTAATTCTATTTGCCTGATGTTAAATGTTTTGTTTTGCTTCTTTTGAAATTCATGTGAAAATTCTTGCGTCTTCAGTCCTGTTGTCTCGCCTCCAGCAAGTACACTGGTGACTTTTTCACTCAACGAAATAATTGCTGGATATTTGAAAATTGTATAACCCCCCGCAGGACCAAGTGAATGCATTCAGCCTTCAGCTTTGAATAACAATCAGCAACGTTAAATTAAAACTAGTTTATCCAGCGGTAGATACATGATCAAATTAAGTAAAGCCAAAGGAAGTCAAATATACTGCCTTTAGAAAAAGACAGAGACCTTCGTAAATAAGCAAACAATTATGTGTTATTGTCCAGCAGAAATGTGAGATCTCGATGGGCTGCTTGAGCCAGTACCGATTTGGTAATCCTGATATTACATCCAGAGTCAATCAGGAATGTGTGGTTTTGTTTAATCGGCTGTTGCTGTGCCTCTGTGTTCATTGTGCTGATCAATAAGACTTTGCACACGCCTGACTGGGCGTCCACTCGCTAATTCCCAGGCTTGCACAATCGCAACAAAAGTACAATTTTCATCATCAGATCCGGGCTGTGACGACTTAGCTTTAGCTGAATTGTCAGTTGCTGCGACCTGAACTTTCAAATGGCGTTTCACAACAGCTATCACCAATACTACTACTCTACCCGTTTTTGATCATTTTCAATGAGTATAGAAGTCACATAAAATGCAACAGACTCGTAAGTGAAAACTTTGACAGAATGTCTCAAAGATGTCTAAAAAGCGTGGGATTGAGCGCATTCATTTTGAACTCGCAGCTATCAGGCACTCACCCCAAGATATCTCGGTCGATATGACCTCTTACATGTCCCCTTAACAAGCTGACCTTCAACTTTGTGCGCTAGTATTTCCACACAGGGAATAACCGACAGATAGCTGGGAGAAATTTCTGATTGGTTGCTGGCAGAATTTCCAATGACTTGCGTCAAACAGGAACTGTTTTGGGCATCTGCGCGCGGGAGGTTAAGCATCCACTTAGGCGGCAATGACAAGGGCTTGGTTAAGTGTCGCAGCGTGAGAAATCAGTGGTCTGTGTGAAAAGATTTAGACATGAGTGGCTATTTTTAAAACATGGCTTTTTTAGTTCTCAAACAGTCACCGTGACACATTGACGCTCTCCATGTTACTCGGTCACTTGAAACAATGTATTTGAATTGCAATTTTACAAGTGTCCCTTTTTCGGGAAATGATCTTGTTTTCATTGCAATCAAACACATTCAAGAACTTTTTGCCCACGACAAAACCTTTCCCTAGGTAAACCGAAGTGCCAGAGGCAAGAGCGTTTCATCTGACAAACGAATCAAAGTAAACAACCTAAAGTCGTTGCACCCTCTGCCCACAAACCTGGCCAAAGATGGCCAAGTTCAAAATTTCAGGTTAAATTAAATGGTTCTGATGCTCAAAGGTACAAAAAACAATTTATTGAATCTGAGAGTGAACGATTATTGGCGCACACATGAGGGTGCTGTTTTGATAGCGCCCTCATGAAAAGAAAATAGCGACAGCGGAATGGCTTGGCCTCTTCCTTAGAACAGCACCAACTCCAACATTGGTACACCGATCCCGATTGCCTGAAATAAGGTACATTTTGAGCTTAGATATAATTATTGGGGAAAAATATCAAAGAAGTATGACTGCAACTTACTAGATTCCTGTTTCAAACAGCGTTCTACAATACTGCTAGCTAAAAGATAAAAATCCACAAAATTTTACCAAACTTGTTGGAATTAAATAACAAGGACTTTGTCTCAAGTCCGCTCGTTTTTACAGTTTCCTTCCAATAAGAAGTGTGAATTCCACCTACGCCTCCAGAAACAGCATTTACAGAATGATTACAGCATGAAATATTTTCTGCTGTGTCGGGAGGCGAGTAGGTGGCACTATTTTATGGATTTTTTTAGAAGTTTGGCTAAAATCTAACTGTTAGGCATGAGCAATTTTTGTTTCTGAAGCCACAAATAATGCTTTAACACTGAACGTACGTTTCATTGACTTGAAGCGAGAATACTCAATGTGCTGCTCGATGTTGCGGCCACCGTACTTCCATGTGCACGCGCCCCTTGCGCTCTTGTCTCTGAGCGCTTTGGCGTATTTTTGGGCCAAAGACGTAAGCTCCTTTAAAGCGCAAACAGAAACCAAAAAATTCTGAGTAAAAGCACTTGCCATTTTCCATTGCCATTTCAAATCACTTCTTCGTCTCCCCCCCTTTGCTCAGTCAAAAGAAAATTCATTGCAGAGAAGGTAAAAAAGTCAATTCAATTAATATTTGGATGACAAAGTAGGCATGTGTACACTCGATTTTCAAGTTGTCAAATTCCATATTGCATTCGCTATCTCAGACTAATTTGTTGGGAAGTCTACTCCGAAAGTTGGGATAAATCTGCGTAGAACCAATTAAATTCCGAAGTGCTATTTACGATTTTATTATCAAGCAAAGGTCCTTTCACTAACACACTCAATAGCGCCTGAATTTATAAAAAAACAGCAAAACATAAACGTTTCCTATAAGGAACCCCTCGAAATAAACTCTTCAAAGAGGTACTCGAACAATTTTTACTTCACCCACAATTCCAAAACTGTAAAATTTTCATCGGATCAACACGAGTCTTTTGTTTATTATTAAAACTTCTAAGAAATCAAAATTTTACTTCAAAACGTTTACCAACTAAATCTATTGTTCTATAAGCTACTAAGTACCCTTGAATTCGTCAAATTTCAGTTATCTATGCAATCCGTAGTGAGTAAACGTCGCAACTCTGCTTTTATCACCATGACAATGAGATCCTAATTCAGACACAAGTGCGCTTTTGTGAAAAGCTAAAAAAGCGGAATTAGTATTGCAATTTCAGTTCCCATGCGACGCTTGGGAAAACAGTTTGGCTGCAGTAAATCTGACTGCACACATTCAGTTTTGCCCAAGTCTGAAAATGGAAAAGCCCAAGTGTGATTCAACTGGCCCGAAATGAGTTACTCAGACGAAGCTGGGACCATAGGCGCTTGTCGTTAAACAGTTAGGTCTGATTTGCCTATTTGAAATCTCAGTAAAGACTCATTGGAGTCGGGTGTGGTTTGAAGAGGTATGCAAGCGAAACGCCATTTCAAAATACGATTATTAAGACCGTCTGCTTCACAACACCATCCATTGAGATTCACATGCCTAGCATGTTGCCTGTTGTCATTTTGTTAACAAACGAGCTTACCATGTTAACCGTGAGCGGTGGTAGATTCTGACCTGCTCTGTAGGAATTCAGGGCTTGTATGATACTCTGCACGTACGCGCCCGTATCCTTAAAAAACGTAAAACATTTGTCTCATTTAATGCAAAATTAACAGCAATTTTGGCCTTTTGACATCGTGACCAATAATGCAATGGCCTCATGTTCGAGACTTCGCCTATTTCCTGCTTTTCTTCAAGCTAAATTTCATCATGTTACTTAGTAAATTTTCGCCGTTGAGTGCTGGTGACCGGTGAGCCACAAATTCATGGAAAGCCTTCCTGTTTATCAACAATAGACGATGGAGCGATGTCTCCATCGCATACCAGGCAAGCCAGAAATGTCATCGCACACACACGCGTCGTACTTGTGGGTAGCTATTAAATGGCGCACCGGCCCTATTGGCTCGGTCTACCTTCATGGGAGGCCCTCTTAAGTCAAGAAATTAACAACATTAGATACTTATGAGAAATTCCCAAAGCTAAAGTCTAATTTAAAGATATCGGCAAGGAGAGATATTGCTTAATTGTCACCTAATTAAACCGCGAAGGGTTCCCATGGCAGACGTTTGGTCAGTTCCGCAAACGCATGTGAGTGCGCACTTCCAGTAAAATGGGCCTCTGGTTAATGAATCATTTAATTTACCCAGTTTTCACCGCTGGCTTCCACAGGTGGATGTGTATTTGCTTGTTCAGCTATAAAAAAAAAATAAAATTTCAAGTTATTAAAAGGTACAAATTGGCGATACATGCGCACAAAATCTGCGTGCAACCTGAATACGGTTCTTGGAGCCAAGGGTCAAGCATTGTTCCGAATATTCCATAAAATCTTAGTTAGATGTCTGATGTCGACGCGATTGGATTTATTGTGGTAAAAAATTTGCAATTAGATAACTTTCTCTTGTCACAGCGTGGGAGTTTGCAGAAATTTCCTATTAGCTTCCAAAAATTAAGGACCGCTGCCGTGAAAACGATTGATGGCGGCCTTGTGAAGCAAGGTGTGTGGTCTGTGGTGTTTTAACTTGGTTGCCTGAGTACAGACTGAATAACGGAGCTAAAGTTGCATACTTCCAAAATTTATGACAGTTTTGGGATTTTCGAAGATGCTGTGCATGACCGGAGCGACTACTTCTTTGGGTAGCGCTTTTGGCATTTGCCTGTAAGTGGCCTATTTAAGGCGACTTCAGTTGCCAAAGATTGGCTTCTAAACGTTTTCGGGTAAAAATGCCAGTTGGTGGTTGGCTTGTGGTCACATGGATGGCCGATATAATGCAGTGGCCAGATCGGAGATACTTGACACATTTTGCTTTCTGGTGCAAACGCTAATAAAATCTGAGGCCATCCAATAACACTTGACTTTATTTGGCAGAAGAGGGTCAATCTCTATGGCACGTGGCGCATCTTGTGTCAGGCCTTGAATTATAGTCAGGACACATTATTACTGATTGCTTTTATACTCGATTGCAGTTTTTTAACCAATAACGTTGTCTAGAATCAAGGAGTCTCACGAAATACAAGGTCGCTTACCAAGGTTATTGTTGTGGCGGTTGCTGTCCTGGGCGGAGTGCTTGGAAGAGGCCGCTAACAGAAAACATTGCCAAAATTATAACTGTACTGTTTAAAAACCTAAATGATTAGGGTGCACACAACGAGAGGGCTTGGCATAGGACTATGGAGGTAACCCATATTGTGGTTTAAGAGTAAATACCGTTAAAAACAATGATATTCCCAGTGGTAAAGCAAACTTACAGAGTTCAGACGCTGTTGGGATCTCGATCCGTCTATTGAGTGGCTGAGGAACTTGCTCTCGCCATTGGCCCGCCACATTTCCCGGCGGCTTGTATTGTCCGACAGCGTAAATGCCATGACCGTCCTGCGTCCTGGCGACCCCAAATCCCGCAGTTTTCGTATCCTTCCAAACGACTTGAGAAAAATGGCCTATTAAGAGAATACAAAGGGAAATGCTATTCTGATAATAGGTAATATAGGTGAAACAACAAGCGCCCACTCAAATACCCTTTTCAAAAATTAATGAAATTGCCTGGTGGGAATATAGTTTGAGACAGATTAAAAAAAGCTTGCGCCAATTTTATTTCCGATTGCTCACGACAAATCCTGTCATTCGACATAACAGGCAGGCCTGTGGGTATTGGTGGCTGACACGCTCTGAGCCCCAACTGATGTCAACACAGAAATTCGATGTGAATACAATAATATCATTACATTTGGATTGCATGGATTTCTACGTCAGAATGATGTCAGCCAGGTGGGCGTATTGCTATAACAATCACTGCGCCTACGTGGACGTGGCACACGTGGCCTTGTCACTAAATAATTAATGTTCAACGCATCAATGTCCCTGGAAGTGAGTTATTTTTAGTCACAATAATGTCAAGGTTGCGATTCCGGTGGTGTAAAAGGTGATTAGGTCCCCCTATCCTAATACCAAACTGGTAGGTCTTCCTACAAAAACCCACACATAAAAAAACACGGAAATCTTACCGCATTCCATCTGTTCTTGACCGTTGAACTTGTACTTTTTTATCTCCTCATACCACATCAGTGTTGAGTCTGCTCCTTGAAAAAATGCAAGGTAAAAAGTTATTGTTGCACGTTATGAAAATGGTCTTTTCCTAAATATTATTGAAATCTTGTTTGGTAAAAACTTTAGCAATTTTATTGAAACGAGAACCACTGGCAAAGCATTTTGTCATGAAATCGAATATATTAAGCATTAACATTTATCGTATTCTGTTTAAGTAGCATTAAAACACAACACTTTTAATGACAATTGTTGTAAAGACAACGATCTATCAGCAGAGTGGGTAAGGAATTTGTTGTGAAATCTTCTCGATGCAGGACAAAGTTTTTTAAAAGCATTTTTAAACATATTCGTGTCTATTAGCTGCGTTCAATGTCACGAGGAGGCAAGGGAGTGACGGAGTTTAACTGTTGGACACTTGTTCCGGATACACAGTTAATGCATTCGAATGTATTGCAATGCAAAACTTGGCATTTAGCCTGGTGCTGGTTTAATACGGTTTAACGGCAATGGACAGATGCTGACACGAACTGCATTGCCCAACGTCGTGCCTGGGAGGACCTGGGCATGTGGTAAGGCCAAAACGCGAGTCAGCGTTGAGGCAGGTCGTGGGTTCAAAAGTTGGCCACAGAAGGAGCCGAATGGCCACAACTGCGAAAGTGTTGCAGTGTCGTTAAAAGCTCTCCGATTTAGACAGAAGGAAGTAGTCTCTGTGCATCTGCTAACAAATTTCCGTACGAAGACTGCTTATTATACGACAACCGATTAAAGGGACTGCACTGAATTCACCTGTGCATGCCACTTCAAAGCAAAATCCTACCCGGCGGGCGGAAGCACAAACGCACCGCTATCGTGTTGCATCTGCGCAGTTAATTGAATATCACATTTGTCAGTAATTGTGAAGTAGGGATCTCTTTAAATGCAATGTACAAGGCTGCTTCGTTACGTCGCTGTGCGTTGAGCTGAATAGGATTCCATTTCACCTTCCGCGGACGGATTACGAAAAGGAGACCAACGCTAACTACCCGCTCGTCATCAGACAAAGTGTTATTTCAGGCGGTTTATGTTTGCCTGCTAAATTAAAGCTCTCACTGGCAAAAGGTATTCTCTTCGATGAAATTACAAATACGAAAGGAGGAGTGAAAAGTTTTCGGTGGTTGATGCTTTGGTGAATTCCTTTGGCGAGAATGGCATCGGATGTGCTCCTTCTAGGGTAGGCGAAAGTGTGTGTGCCAAAAATGCCCTGAGGCATTCCACAGCGGTGAAACAACCTGATAAAGCCTCAAGTGCTCGGTTGGGTTATTAGGAGACAATAGCGACCAATCGAAATAACCGCTAAATTTTATCCATGTTCAAATGGCTAGACGCTGTGTAGACAATTGGCGTATTTATATTTTGACGGTCCCTTCGTACACCCACACGCCGTTCCGAATGGACTCCAGCAAGCAGTGGACGGGAATCGAGACGTGTCGCATTTTCAAAGGATGACATTTGCATAAATTAATTAAATTTTTTTAGAAGTTAAAATATCAGACTTTTAATTGGTAAAATCATTAAAGAATGTTGAATATTATAATTTCTAGGAAATTCTCTTTTTATCTTAAAAAATTACTTAAATTATTAATTAGCCTTCAACTTCTCGTGCTTCTTTATTATTTGAAGTGGGTCTTAGACTTCGGACGCCTGGTTTTTTTAGTGATTTTGGACCATGTTTCGATACGCTATTTGTGTAAATCGTCCATATTTATGCATGACCATAATTAAACGGCCCGTTTATTGCAAAAGATCAATCAGCAGTAAATGTTGCAAGCTGCATCGTGTTGAAAATACCAACAGGCACTTCATACAACGTACCTTTTGAATTTAAAAAAAGGATCTTTCAAATAAAACCACTTTCCTGGAACCAAAATTTATTTTAAATCAGGCATGATTTCCATAAATCCATGTTAATGTCCGGAATTGGCATCATATTACGGTAACAAGACACTAGCCCTCAAGTATGAATGCTTTACGGGCGAAAGCCATTGCAGTTTATGTGTGATGTCCTTTCCTGTGATTAACACAAGTGTTACATGTAGTTATCAGGTTTGAATCACTACATATTTCTTCATGACTGTCATAGCAAAAGTTTCGTACCTATAGAGTCATGCAAACGTTATCCTAAAACGAGCAGTTTTCAGAATAATTGGATCTTATATAAACCCATGTGATAGCTAAGCACCTATTTATTTTTCTGTACCTCTCCTTGTCTGTATTTATTCATTGTCCAATTATTTACCATAAGTAGCCAACAAGTCATTACAAGGTTTAATTTTTTTACTCGTCATTTCGAAGCAGAAGTTGATAACTTTGCAGAATTGAGTATCATTTAGTGTCAATGAAATCTCCTCACGTGATCGAATGTTAGAAATGCAAGGTGCTCAGAATTAAAAACTGCCGGAATGAATTGCACCATTCTAAACCTTTACGGGATCGTCCTATGATCCGAACTCATAGGAGTTCCACGAGGATTTAAAATTAAATCTATGCTACATTACTTTCCGATTTACAATACCGAAGGGTCTTCGAACGGTTTCAGCTGCAAAACAGGCAGATATCCATTAATTTTAGTTTAACATTTTCCCTGAAACAACATATTTTTATGCCTAACAGGCAGGATAAGCAAAGTCAACACAAAATTGTAGTGGCACGTGTCGCGATTTGAGACACTTGCAAATCGCCGGTGGCAAGACTCGAAGCACATTGGCAAGTGATTTTGGTAAACAAAGGAAAGCACACACACACACACATCGACATACCTGACATTTCCGTGTTTCCACTGCCCATCATAGCACTGAGATTTTCGCCATAATTACGGCAACTACTGTGTTGCAGCCTCTGTTCTCGTGCCAACTTTTCAGCGTAGGCTTGTGCTGATTTCGCCAGCTCCGGATCATAAGTCAGAGGACCACATCCATGTCGTTTTCTTAATCTACAATTAGTCAAAAAGCAAGACTGATACCTGATTCGTCAATCCAGCGTTGCTTCGAAGCTGAGTTCACATTGTGGGAGGGTAAGAAGAACTTCGTCAAACTCTCCTTTTGGAGTATTTGGACTCGTTCATTACAATTAATATTGGCATGACACAGATACGTAATCTTTTTAAAACGTTGGTTTGTGGCGACAAGAGGGCAAAAATTGATACTAAAAATTCAGTCATTTTAGTCGAATGTTGATGTTAAGCAATTCTAAGTGAACTGACACCTTTTTCAACATAAAAAACACGGATTTTCACGACGCAATAAAAGGCTGCTCCTCTGTTATTTTTCCTCTGGATTTATCTGTGCAGTAGAACACATTTTGCATAGGCTAAAGTCAGATAAGCAGCGGATTTAACCACTAGAGTGGGAAAATCCTTGTTCTGAACCATTCCATCAGGCCTTAAATCACGTTTGATGTTCCTAACAGAACGAGAGAGATTCAAAGGTACCGTGTGGATTAGTGTTTAGTACTTTTTTTTAAAATTGAAATGATGTTACAATTTTTTTAAAGTTTAGGTCCTGTAGAGTTTGCTCAAAGTCTACTAGTCTACTAGTTTACGATTTGTCAGCAGTTTTGGGCGCATTTTAACTTCAAATAAGGGTTCTAGATACTGCAAGTTCAAGGTTACCAAGTTCAGTGATGGGAAATTAAATGCTTAGGAAAACATAAACTTGTCTGCTAGTCTAGGAAATTGTAATGAAAGACAAAATTTGAAACTAATGTAAAAAAGGACTTTGTTATGGACATAGATGGAACAACTCGTCCAACCACGTTAAAATGAAAAAAGAATTTGTTCGTTACTGTAGGTAAATAAATGACAGTTTCTAACCAGATAAAATTGAAATCAAAATTAAAGGTCGTAAATTTTCCTTGCTGTTTGGGAAAATACCGCTTCGCAACAGTGTAAATATCATGAGGTAAGTTTTTGTCAGACAATGGATACTCTATGTGTGTACCAAAAGGGGCTAACGAAAACCAGAGCACACCGACGTGGTGTAATTTTTCCCGTTAACTGGGTGCGTTTTTCTTTCTACATTTACGAAATGACGAAGTGGATCTGTGGGGGACACGGGAAAGTCAATCGTGGTCCTTAAACTGGTTCGTTTATTTCCGTCCTGGCCAATGGGGTTAGCCCGAACTAATGACTCGCGAGGATACTTGTATTCCTGCAAACAACACCTGCAGCAGATGTGTAACTTCTTCCCAGCGTGGCAGTTTGGATAGGAGAGAAGTCTGCAACAGCACTATTTAAAATTGTGGACAATGTTGCATACATTTCTAGTCTCTCAGTACACAACTGATGAAATTCAGTCATCACTCATGCGATCACCGATGGAAAATGTAAGCGAAAAGCAAAAAAAAGTTTTTTTGGCAGTTCACAAAACTGCACTATGAGCTTTGTTATACAAGCAGAGCGGGATTTTCTCCTTCTATCTATATTTTTTTTTAAATATGGGATTCCACAACAAGTCGGAAATCCTAACAACATTCACTTGTTTCAGTAAAGTTTTTCTAAGGTTTCAGAAATGCCACATGCAAATTGAAACTCTAGAGCCGAAGGTACCGTACGTGAAGCAAATACATATTGGGCGATGAGAAGTCAGTGTGTCTGCATCGCCTGATCTTTGACAGCCTCAAAGTTGGGTGGTACTCGGACTTCAAAACTGAGCTAAAAAGTTCTCTTTTCTAGGTGTAATAAAATCCAGCAACTCAAAATCTGCAGTATTAACTCTTCGACTATGCCAGATCCGTTGATTACTACACGGCGCGTGCAAAGGGCGCGGGGATGCATTGACTGGGCTGGCAAAGGTGGCCAATCACTACGCTGCATTGCATGATCCCACGCGTGGGTTTCGGCTCGAAGGGCAGTCTTAAGTTGCTCATCAAAGCCGAGAGAAGAATGATACACAGAGCGCCAAGCTTATCGACTGATCTTACGTGCATGATCACCGAGATTGTTTATCTCAGTGCATAAGAAAAACGGTTTGGTTCTGGATGCTAAATTGCCTTGCAGAATGTAAAAACAAAGCACATAATCCCAAGTCTATAGAAATATGAATTTAATTTCATTACTTTTGAAAATACTCAATAAAGGTATAAAATAATTTTGCATGCATCCTAATATAAAAATTGCTGACATGGACTAGGTTAATTTACATACCTACGGATTTATGAAATCGTGACGAACTGTCGAAAAATCGATTAGTCTTTTTACAACTGCCGAAAACTTAAAGGCACAAATCTATGCGATATTTTTTAAATTTGTCCCACGTGGGATGACTTAATGTACCTAAAATCTGTGCTTTGCCTTGATATATTGCCATTAATTAAATATAGCATATTAATTTCCCTTAAAACAGTAAAAATGCTCTCGAGATGATAAAAATGGTTCCTGTTTGCAATGATTAACCTCAAATTCATTAACTCGAACCACAAGATCATTAATACCCAAGTAAACCTAGGTCATGAAATGGACAAAAAGCCAAAAAATGAGTTAACCTACGCATTATGCGCAGCGAGGGCGTCGTCGTTGAATTTTCGATTTACAGACATGTTGCTGGGAGTAGTTTCCAAAATACTATAGTTTTCCGTAACCGGTATGATGCCTATATACCTAACTCAACCAGCTGTGACCAATAGCATTTGAGTAAGGGCAGCGGGAAAGGGCACATGATTTCTGCGTGACAAAAGCAGCTGAGAGGTCGAGCAAGTGACTTTAACACGCGGTTGGTTTGATTCAACTCTTCACAAAACAAAAACTTCTACGCACCGCCTTTATTCGATGACATTCAAGCTTGATAAGCAAAAACCCACATTGCCTTAAACGCACTGGTCTTTAACGTTCGAGTGTGACAATCCATACACTGCTAAATGTAAATTTGAGCTAATTATTTTGCATTTATGTGTTTATTGTCATCGATTTATCCAATTATGGGGAATGTACAACTCGAAACGATGGTATAGTGTATTTTACAAATAAGAAAGACCTAGAGTTTATCTTTCTCTTCCACGTTTTCAGCAAATAACGGTTGTGCAGGAGTTTGTGGCGAGCAGCAAGCGAGCACAGCAATCGTGAGCGAATGCAATTGACATGCGTGAGGGAACATGATTCCTGCGGCGGTTAAAGAACCCATTAGCAGCTGACGCCACTAGCGCTGGGCATTCTCGTTTCCCGACTGTGTGAGAGAGTCTGTAGAAGCGTCCTTACACGGGGGTCTAAACCGAAGGTTTCGTGACGCCAACACAAACCTTTGGACGAGCAGCGTGACGAGGACCTGCGACGAAAATGTGAGCCCTTCCACCTAAATGAGTTGTATCTTCTCCCTCGTGAACCGTTGATTGCCAATGCATTGATTTCTGCCTCGATCCTGTCTAGGCGACTCTCCAAGGACATAGGGTTTCGCTCGCGCCCACGGGCAAAAAGGCATTCTATTTTCTTTGGAGTCTTGGGTCAATTTCGGCTACGTGAGCCGACTTCGTCGCTTGTAATATGAGGTCTGCGGTATCTGCCAACTGTTTTAGTGTTGACGATTCAACCATGGTAACAAGGGTGGGTTGGATTTTGCTTGGAAGTCGTATGAGAAAAATCATTTCCAAAATGCACCTTGTAAAGGTTTGTCGCTGGAGAGTTGACACATCTTCCTCAAAATCTGGGTAGGCTTCAAGTCTCCCGAGTCATAGTGGGATAAAAGTTGATTAATGCGTTCCGATGTGTTCGGTTGAGTACGCTTTAGAATTGCCGCCTTTAACTGGTCGTAAGGAAAGTCGTTTTTGGGGTAAAGCAGTGCGTCTGAAACCTCGTTGACCAATTCCCTACTCAACGTAGGGAAAAGTTGAGAGCATTTAGCAAGTTAATTGACAATGCGAGCGCCACGAAGTTGCGCGTCCACATCGGCGAACCAACACGGAGTGGAATTCGGCCAGAAGGGAGGCTGTTTTAGGCTGATTCCTTTTAAGATAATTGAAGGTTTGCTTTCATGATGACCACGTTATAGTCACCAGTCCTGCCGCAGACCCCCTGGCACGGTTAGAAAACCACACCAGGGCCGACAATTGGCGTCGACATGGCCCGACCGAAGAAAGAGAAAGAATGCAGATGGCGCACAGCTTAACAAATTTAATCTAGCAATAATGATGTGTGTGTACAAAGCAAAAAGTCAGTTTATGTAGGATCGGCTAGCCATCCATCCCTGAACGAACACAGTTACGTGAAGTGCATTCACGTAAACCAACTTTGTCATGTTTACTCACGACTGCTAACTGTGCTTGCTTGGTGCTCGCCACGAGTTTGCGATTCTGAGCATCGAAGCACAGATTCAAGAAGTCATGGTCAAAAGTGTTTATTATAGCCTGTGAATACACAGTATAACGTCAGCTGCTGACCATATTAGTTAAATGTGGGCTCAAGTCTGATTCCAAAAACAGCAGAAAACTCCACGACGACACTTCGCAATAATTTTTCCAATGGAGTTATGAAAATCCTTGTTTATCTAATTTTTAAGGTTTATGACTTGAAAGACCTTTTTATAAACACTTACGTGGAAAACCTACTTGATTTATATCAATTCGTTGTGTATTTATGTTATACCTAATCAGTAATATGTCATTTATTGTAGACTGGCGAGGGTAATTGATCATAAATCTTGAGCTTTCATTCAAACCAACACTCACTGAATATAATACTTTAGAATGAACCAAATAGCCAGTATTTTTAGAACTAGCATTAAATGAAACAAGAAACCTCCGTGTCCTAATTCGTGGGAATGTTTCAGTTGTTACCGCATCAAGGGCACAAAATTCCTGGAACACTGCCGTGACCCTACCCAGGCACTTTTCAGTGCCAGTAAAAAAGTGTGTTAATTCAGTGTGTTAATGTTTAGGGTTGCATTAAGTAGAAAACATTACTTTTGATTCATTTCACTGCATGTTAGACATGCATTTATGATGCTGTGTGATGACACGGTAGGATTTGCAGGGCA